CCAAAAGCCCACCGGAACCCTTTTGGGTCCTTGCAATATCCTCTTCTAAGATAGTCTATGCCAAGGATACATGGAGCATCCGGGCCAGTCACAATGCGGTGCTTTTCCCACTCATTCCCAGTCAGACTTGCTTCAGCCTCCAATACAGTTAACTGCTGAGATCCCCCTGTCACTCCACAAATATAGATGGGCTCTGGTCCTTTATAGCTTGATGGCATTATAGTACATTGTGCACCGGTGTCTACTAAAGCCTTATACTTCTGTGCGTGTGACGTGCCAGGCCATCGAATCCACACAGTCCAATAAACTCGATTGTCCCTTTCCTCCCCCTGGCTGGAGGCAGGGCCCCCCTAATCCTGGTCAGAATCTTCTTCGTTTCTGTGTTTGAAGGACTGTCTGCTGGAAGTTGGAGCAGCAAACTTTTCAGAGAATCCTTTTTTCCTGATTGTTTTCTTTTGCAACTCACGTACCCGTGCCTCTAGGGTTGCGGTAGATTTTCCATCCCATTTTCTCATGTCCTCTCCATGGTCTCGTAAGTAAAACCACAGGGTGGCATGGGGTGAGTACCCACCATATCGTCTTCCTTGTGTAGATGAACGCCTACCCCTGATAGCTGAGACACTGCTCTGTACAGGTACAGAGGAGAATAATCTCTCTTCAAGTTGGTGAAACTTTTCAGAAAGTTTCTCCCAGGTGTTCTCTTTCGGTCATTGGACACCGATTGGTTCAGGTGGGGAGGAAGATAGATTCTCTTCAAGTTGGTGAACCTTTTCAGAAAGTTTCTCCACAGCTGAGACGCAGGCCTGTAAGGAAGAGGAGAGACTTTCTTCGTACTGCCGCAGTTGTTTAGCCACTTCATCCACTGTGGGTTCCTCATCCTCTTTCCAGGCCATTATTGCCAATGAGCTGCCATATGATGATGGTGCACTCCGTACAAACTTCCGCCACATGGGTCGTGTACACCTGACTTCATCTGGGTCTTTGGATGTTTGTCTGAGGTCTGGATCCTCATAAATCACTTCCCGTACGGCTAATTCCCTCAGGTACTGGATTCCCTTCTCCATAGTGGTCCACTTGCCTGGTAGACATAAAAGTTCTTCCTTGAAGGGATACCTTTCCCTCACAGCTGAGAGGAGACGCCTCCAGAGGCTGGTGGATTGTGCTCCATCTGCAATTGCTTTGTCAATGCCGGCGTCTCGAGAAAGGGATCCCAGCCGCTTGGCTTCCCTGCCATCTAATTCCACACAATTGGCTCCAGAGTCCCAGCACCGGAGCAGCCAGGTGACAAGCTGCTCACCTATACAACGACCAAAATCTTTTCGCACATCTCGTAACTCACGCTCGTTTAGGCTTCGGGTAGTTACTGTTGACTTTTCGGCATCCTCATCTTCCTCCTCCTGAATCCTTGATGACCCAGCGTCGTCGTCGTCTCCGTCATCTCTATACCTAGATTTGGCAGAAGACTCTCTGCGTTCTAAACGACCTGAATCTCTATACCATTTTTTCACCTTCTCTACAGGGGCAGCTTGCACTGCTACCGCTCGTTTCTCTGACCCTGTTACAGGGTCTGCCACAGGGGTTGGAATACCCTCTGCAGGGTCAACTTGCACTGCTACCGCTCATTTCTCTGACACAGCCACAGGAGCTGGAGCGGCTGCAGGAACTGGAGTTGGAGCGGCTGCAGAGTCCACCGTAGGGGTCACAGTGGCCGTTGGATCTGTCACAGGGCTTGGAGTGGCCGCAGGGTCTGTCACTAAGTTGATAGCAGTATCAATGGCAGCTCGATAGGCATGAGCCAGGCCCCAGCACGTTACAATGATTTGTGTTACTTTGGAACTGCCAGAATCATGGCACCTTTTTTTCAAGCATTCTGCCAGTTTTTGAGGATTTTGCAGTTGTTCAGGGGTGAATTTCCAAAACACTGGAGGTGCCAACTGCTCTAGATGCCTGCCCACATCCTCCCATCCTCCCTGCCACCCACAACTATACTGCCTCCGGGCAGATCTCCGGATGAGCTTCCTAAGAAGTTGTTTAACTTTAAGCAGAATCTGAAGTGCATTCAGGAGGCAGAACAACAAGACTATGGTGGTCTGAGTATCCCAAGGATATTCAATATCTTGGAGAGCTATTGTGACAAGCTCGGGGGATAAGAGGGTGGTGAAGGAGGAAGGCAGAGTGATCCAGGAGGATACAGGGGTGGTGAAGGAGAAAGGGAGAGTAATCAAGTAAGAAAAAATATCCTCCTCTTTCCCCTCCACAGATTGACTCCCTAATGGAAAAAAACAATAGGTATGTGCAGTTCTGGGCACCACAGTATAAAAAGGACATGAAACTGTTGGAGAGTGTCCAGAGGAGGGCTACGAAGATGGTGAAAGGCCTGGAGGGGAAGACGTACGAGGAACGGCTGAGGGCACTGGGCCTGTTCAGCCTGGAGAAGAGGAGGCTGAGGGGAGACCTCATCGCAGTCTACAACTTCCTCGTAAGGGGGTGTCGAGAGGCAGGAGACCTTTTCTCCATTAACAGCAGTGACAGGACCCGCGGGAACGCGGGTAAGCTGAGGCAGGGGAAATTTAGGCTTGACATCAGGAGGGGGTTCTTCACAGAGAGGGTGGTTGCACACTGGAACAGGCTCCCCAGGGAAGTGGTCACTGCACCGAGCCTGTCTGAATATAAGAAGAGATTGGACTGGGCACTTAGTCACATGGTCGGAACTTTTGGGTAGACCTATGCAGTGTCAAGAGTTGGACTTGATGATCCTTAAGGGTCCCTTCCAACTCAGGATATTCTATGATTCTACGATTCTATGACGTCACAGTGGTGACAAGATGGCTGCCTCACAGAGGTGATAAAACGGCAACAGTGCACAAAACTAAAGTATCAGGGACACAAGGGACAAAATGCTGCAGTCACAAAAGGGACAAAATGGAGGGGACGCAAAGGGATGAAGTGGTGGGGATGCAAGGGGACAAGATGGCAGCGTCACACTGGTGACAAGATGGCCGCCTCACAGAGGAGACAAGATGGCGGCATCCCCACACCACCACACATCCCCCAGTACCTCGCTGAAGGTCTCGGTCAGCCGCTGGATGATCTCGGTGTTCTGCTGCTCCCGCAGCATGGCCAGCGTCACCGTGCCTGCCGGGAGGGGACACGGCGGGTGACGGGGACGTCCCCCGGGGGGGTGACAGGGGGACGGGGAGCGGGGCGGCCGCACCTCGGCAGCCGCAGGAGCGGACGATGAAGTTGACGAGCTCCAGGAAGGCCGGCTCCCGGTCCCGCTTGTAGCCCTGCAACCACTCGTCCACCGCCACCTGCGGGCACAGTGACACGTGGTGACACGTGGTGACACGTGGTGACACGTGGTGACACGTGGTAACATGTGGTGACACATGGTGGCACCTGGTGGCACACGGTGGCACACGGGGGGGGGGGGGGGGCTGGGGTGGGGAGAGCCCCCCTCACGTGACCCCGGGGGGGGCTTGGGACCACCCCCAGTGTGATCCCAGGGAGGAATTGAAGGGCCTTGAGGGGCCTTGGGACCCCCCCAAATGGCCCCGGGGGGGGCTCTGGGGACCTAAGACCCCCCCCAAATGGTCCCGGGAGGGGGTCAGGGGTCCTGGGACCCCCCCAAATTGTTCAGGGGGGGATTTGGGGCCTTGGGATCCCCCCAAAATGGCCCCGGAGGGGCTTTAGGCCCCCTCCATGTGACCCCGGGGGGGCTTTGGGGCCTTAAGGCCCCCCCCAAATGGCCCCGGGGGGAGCTCTGGGGACCTGGGACTACCCCCAAATGGTCCTGGGAGGGGGTCGGGGGTCCTGGGACCCCCCCAAATTGTTCGGGGGGGGATTTGGTGCCTTGGGATCCCCCCAAAATGGCCCTGGCATGGCTTTAGGCCCCCTCCACTTGACCCCGGGGGGGCTTTGGGGCCTTAAGGCCCCCCCCAAATGGCCCCGGGGGGGGGTTGCGGGGCCTTGGGACCCCCCCAAATTGTTCAGAGGGGGCTTTGGGGCCTTGGGACCCCCCCAAAAGGCCCCGGGGGGGGGATTGGGTGTCTTGCCCCCCCCCCCCCCCGTTTCTCAAGGGCGTTTTGGGGCCTTGGCACCCTCCCCATATGACCCTCGGGGATTTTATAGGGCTTTGGGACCCCCCCCACGCGTCTTTGAGGTGGGTTGGGGTGTTGGGACCCCCCCAGTGTGACCCCAGCCAGTGGTTGAGAGCCTTGGGACCCCTCCCCGAAATGGCCCCGGGGAGGGGGGGGATTGCGGCCTTGGGACCCCCCCCAAGTGACCTTGAGGGGCTCTGGCCCCCCCCCCAGTGTGACTCTGGGGGGCTTTGGGCCCCCCCCCGTGTAACCCTACGGGGTCCTTGGGGTCTTGGGACCCCCCAACCCCAAGTGACCCTGGGGGGGTTTGCCCCCCCCAATATTACTCTGGGGGATCTCGGGACCCCCCACATGTAACCTCAGGGGGTGTTTGGGGGCTCAGGACCCCTCCAAACGACTCATGGGGGGTGTTTGCCCCCCCACGTCCCCATTCTGCAGGACCTGAGGGGGGCCTTCCCCAAAAGGGGGGGCCCCCAACGCCCCCCCAACCTCTGTCCCCCCCCCCAGCGCTGCTGTCACCAGGTCATCAAGGGGCCCAGCTCGTCCCCAGGACCCGCCCCCCAGCTCCCCCCCCAGGACGTGAGTTTTTTTTTGTTTTTTTTTTGTTTTTTTTTTTGGGGGGGGAGGTGACAACAGCCCCCCATTGCTGTCCCCACTGTCCCCGCAGAGCCACCAGCAGCAGTGACAATGACAACGACTCCGGCAGCGACTTGGAGGCCTCCCTGCAGCAGAACCGGGGGGCTCGGGGGGGGGCCCAGCACCCGCCTCTGCCCTGTACGTGTCCCCTTTGTCCCCCCCCCCGTCCCCAAAGCCGTGCCCTCCCTTGTCACCCCCGTGTCACCTCCGCAGGTCCCCAAACGTCCCCGGAGGGAGCCCAGCGAGGACAGGAGCAGCCCGGAGGAGAACGTCCTCTACCAGGCCGTCATGGAGGGCAGGGTGGCCATCGAGGTGACACGGGGACAGGGGGGGACACGGGGGGGACATGGGGACATGTTGGGGGGCACAGGGACACACAGGGATAAAGGGACACGCGAGCAAAACCAGCTCCCAAAGGGACACGGGGACGTGTCCACCTTGGGAAGGGGACATGGGGGGGGGGGGGGGGGGCATTTGCTCAAATGTGGCGCCACCACATGTCACTACGTGCCACCACGAGCCACCACATGTCACCACATGTCACCACGAGCCACCACATGCCACCACGAGCCACAACATACCTCCACGTGCCACCACACGTCACCACGTGCCACCACACGCCATGTCCCACCACATGACACCATGTTCCACCACATGTCACCACGTTCCACCACAGGCCACCACATGTCACCACGTGTCACCACGTGTCACTGTGCCCACAGGTGGCGGTGGACGAGTGGCTGCAGGGCTACAAGCGGGACCGGGAGCCGGCCTTCCTGGAGCTCGTCAACTTCATCGTCCGCTCCTGCGGCTGCCGAGGTGCGGCCGCCCCGCTCCCCGTCCCCCTGTCACCCCCCCGGGGGACGTCCCCGTCACCCGCCGTGTCCCCTCCCGGCAGGCACGGTGACGCTGGCCATGCTGCGGGAGCAGCAGAACACCGAGATCATCCAGCGGCTGACCGAGACCTTCAGCGAGGTACTGGGGGATGTGTGGTGGTGTGGGGATGCCGCCATCTTGTCTCCTCTGTGAGGCGGCCATCTTGTCTCCTCTGTGAGGCGGCCATCTTGTCACCAGTGTGACGCTGCCATCTTGTCCCCTTGCGTCCCCGCCACTTCATCCCTTTGCGTCCCCTCCATTTTGTCCCTTTTGTGACTGCAGCATTTTGTCCCTTGTGTCCCTGATACTTTAGTTTTGTGCACTGTTGCCGTTTTATCACCTCTGTGATGCAGCCATCTTGTCACCACTGTGACGTCATAGAATCATAGAATCATAGAATCATAGAATCATAGAATCATAGAATATCCTGAGTTGGAAGGGACCCTTAAGGATCATCAAGTCCAACTCTTGACACCGCATAGGTCTACCCAAAAGTTCCGACCATGTGACTAAGTGCCCAGTCCAATCTCTTCTTATATTCAGACAGGCTCGGTGCAGTGACCACTTCCCTGGGGAGCCTGTTCCAGTGTGCAACCACCCTCTCTGTGAAGAACCCCCTCCTGATGTCAAGCCTAAATTTCCCCTGCCTCAGCTTACCCGCGTTCCCGCGGGTCCTGTCACTGCTGTTAATGGAGAAAAGGTCTCCTGCCTCTCGACACCCCCTTACGAGGAAGTTGTAGACTGCGATGAGGTCTCCCCTCAGCCTCCTCTTCTCCAGGCTGAACAGGCCCAGTGCCCTCAGCCGTTCCTCGTACGTCTTCCCCTCCAGGCCTTTCACCATCTTCGTAGCCCTCCTCTGGACACTCTCCAACAGTTTCATGTCCTTTTTATACTGTGGTGCCCAGAACTGCACACAGTACTCGAGGTGAGGCCGCACCAGCGCAGAGTAGAGCGGGACAATCACCTCCCTCGACCTACTAGCAATGCTTGATGCACCCCAGGACACAGTTGGCCCTCCTGGCTGCCAGGGCACACTGCTGCCTCATATTCAACTTGCTGTCTACCACGACCCCCAGATCCCTCTCTGCGGGGCTGCTCTCCAGCGTCTCATCGCCCAGTCTGTACGTGCAGCCGGGGTTTCCCCGTCCCAGGTGCAGGACCCGGCAGTTGCTCTTCTTGAACTTCATGCGGTTGGTGATCGCCCAGCTCTCCAACCTATCCAGATCCCTCTGCGAGGCCTTTCCACCCTCAACAGAGTCCACAACTCCTCCAAGTTTGGTGTCATCGGCAAACTTGCTCAAAATACCTTCTATTCCTACATCCAGATCGTTTATAAAAATATTGAAAAGTACCGGCCCTAAAATGGAGCCTTGAGGGACCCCACTGGTGACCGCCCGCCAGCCTGACGCAGCGCCATTCACCATAACCCTTTGGGCCCTGCCCGTTAGCCAATTGCTCACCCATCGTATGATGTTTTTATTTAGCTGTATGGTGGACATTTTGTCCAGTAGGATCCTATGGGAAACCGTGTCAAAAGCCTTGCTGAAGTCCAAAAAAATCGCATCAGCTGGTTTCCCTTGGTCCACCATACGGGTGATCTTATCATAAAAGGCAATCAGGTTAGTTAGGCAGGACCTACCTTTCACAAACCCATGCTGGCTGGCACCAATGACTGCTCTGTCCCCCAGGTGCGCCTCAATAAGTTCGAGAACCATCTTCTCCATGATTTTACCAGGCACTGACGTGAGACTGACAGGCCTGTAATTGCTAGGGTCTTCTTTCTGACCCTTCTTGAAAATCGGCACAACATTTGCCAGCTTCCAGTCTACCGGGACCTCTCCAGATTCCCAGGATCGTTGAAAAATAATTGAGAGAGGTTCCGCGATGACGTCCGCCAGCTCTTTCAGCACCCGGGGATGAATCCCATCCGGACCCATGGACTTGTAGGGATCCAGGTGGAGTAGCAAATCCCGCACACGTTCAGGGTCGGTTGGGAGTTTGTCATTGTCACTTAGGGGGGTTAGTGTCCCCAAGGGGGGGTTATTGTTACCTGGGGGGGGGGGTCAGTGTCACCTTGGGGTGCTCATTGTCACTCTGGGGGGGGGGGTTATTGTCACTTGGGGGGCTCATTGTCCCTAAGGGGGTGTCTCAGTGTCCCCTTTGGGGGGTCGCTGTCACCTGGGGGGGGTCAGTGCCACATGATGGGGTATCAGTGACCCCGGGGGGATGTCATTGTCCCCCGGGGGGGTGTCATTGTCCCAGGCGGGGTCATTGTCGGCATTGTCACCTGTGTCCCCCCCAGGCGCCCCCCAAGGGGAGGCGCCGGTGACGGAGCAGCGCTCGCGGCTCAGCCTCTGCCTGGCCCCCATCCTGCCCCGGCTGCTGGCCAAGGTGAGGGGACCCCGGGGGGGCCTCGGGGACATTTTTTTGGGGGGGGGACACCCGGGTGACCCCCCCGTCACCCCTTGTGACCCCCCCAAAAAGTTTTTGGCGGACGAGGAGAAGGTGACGCCGCTGCTGGAGGTGCTGAGCTGCTTCGAGCTCAGCGTCTACTGCACCGCGCGGCTGGAGAGGGTGAGCGCAGGCCCTATAGGGTCAGCCGGCCCTATAGGGTCACCTGACCCCAATCCTATAGGGTCAGCTGGTCCTTTAGGGTCCCCTGGTCCTTTTAGGGCCACCTGGCCCCAATCCTATAGGGTCAGCTGGTCCCAACCCTATAGGGTCACTCAGTGCTATAGGATCACCTGGTCCCTACAGGGTCACCTGGTCCTATAGGGTCACCCTGTCCTTATAGGGTCACCTGGTCCTTAGAGGGTCACCGGGCCCCAATCCTTGGGGGGGGATTTTGGGGAGATTTGGGGTCCCCGGGGGGGGGATTTGGGGTTCCTGGGGGGGATTTGGGGGGGATTTGGGGTTCCTGGAGGGGGATTTGGGGTCCTTGTATGGGGATATGGGGTTCCTGGGGAGGGGGTTGGGTCCTGGGGGGGATTTGGGGTGCAGGGGGGGATTTGGGGTTCTTGGAGGAAAATTTGGGGGCCCTGGGGGGGTGGATTTGGGGTCCCCCTAATTTTTGCCCCCCCCCCAGGCTGACCCACCTGCAGCAGAGCTGCCAGCAGCTGGGGATGACCCCCCCAGAGCGGTCCCCGTGGCCCCCCCTGGCCGCCTACCACCGCTCCCTGCAACCCCCTGAGTCCCCCCAAGGTGACGGGGGGCGCAGCACCCCCCCAGAACCCCCCCATTGTGCCCCCTCACAATTTCCCCCTCCCTTGTCCCCGTGTCCCCCCCCTTGTCCCTGCACTCCCCCCCCAAGGGAGGGAGGTGACAAATTGGGGGGGTCCTTGGGGACAAACCCTGTGTGTGGGGGGGTCTCACATCGTCCCCCCCCACTTTTGTGCCACCCCCCCCCCCCAGAGACCTGGCAGGGCCCCAGCCCCCCCCTCAGCCCGGCACTCACCTCCACGGTGCTGCGGGCCCCCCCAGCCCCCCCTGCGACCTCCGCGTTCCCGGCCCCAGCAGGTGAGTTTGGGGGGGGGGGGCACCCTCAAAATGGGCTGGGGGGGGCAATGGGGGGAACTGGGAGGTACTGGGAGGGCACTGGGATGGGATAGGGGGGGCACTGGGCATACTGGGGGGCACTGGGGGGGGTTATTGGGCATACTGGGAGGGACTGGGGGGGGGCACTGGGCATACTGGGAGGCACTGGGCATACTGGGGGGGCTCCCAGATTCGTCCCCACATTAAGTGTGGTGGAGGAGGAAAAGGAGGAGGAGGAGGAAGAGGAGGAGGAGGGGGGGGGGGGGGCAGCAGCGAGGAGCCCCCCCCGCAGCTGGACCAGGTGAGCCCCCCCCCCACGGCCCCCCCAGCACCAAGGGGGGGGTCCTGGGTGCTTCCCCCCCCCCCAGGTCCGGGACCTCTTTGACTCCACCATCCTGGGAATCGAGGTGAGGGGGGGGGGGCGAAATGTTGCCTCCCCCCCCCAAATTTCCCCCCAACGCCCCCCCCTTTTTTTTTGTTTACCCCCCCTACTTCCCCCCTCCCCAAATTTGGCCCCCCCCACCCCAAAATTGCCTCCATTTCCACCCTCCCCCCCCAAATACCCCCTCTAATTTTACCCCTATCCCCCCCCAATTTTGCTCCCCCCCAAAATTTGCCCCCCCCCAAATGCACCCCCCCTATTTCCACCTCCCCCAAATCCTGCCCCCATTTTCACCCTCCCCCGTTTCCTAGCTCCCCCCCCCAAATTTGAGGACCCCCCCTCAAAAAAAAAAATATGGACACCCCCACAAAATTTGAGGACCCCCCAAAAAATCTGCCCCGCCCCCAAACTTCCCCCCCTCCCCCCAAATCCTGCCCCCATTTTCACCCTCCCCCCTCTTACAGCCCCCCCCAAATTTGGGGACCCCCCCAAAAAACTTTGGGACTGTCCCCAAAGTATGGGGACCCCCCTAAAAATTGGGGGCCCCCCCCCCCAAATTGCCCCCCCCATTTTTGGGGGGGTTTCTCTCCCCCAGGACTGAATGCGGAGCCACAGCCGGAAGGCGTCGTTTCTGGTTTTGCCTGTTTTTTTGCCGTTCTGAGCCCAAAATGTTGGGGGTCCCGCCCCCCATCCCCACCCCCACACCCCGTTTGGTTCAATAAAGAGCGGGATTGGCAACGCGGCCTCAAAAAAGTTTAGTTTTTGGGAGGGGGGGGGAGGACAGGGGGGGTCTGGTCACAGTGGGTCCCCCGCCGATGTCCCCACCCCATCCCCGTGTCCCCCCCTCTTTGTCCTTGTCCCCCCCATCCTTGTGCCCCCCCCCAATGTCCCTGTCCTCGATGTCCCCATTGGGGTTGTCCCCATCCCACTGTCCCCACCCCAATGTCCTCGTCCTGATGTCCCCTCCCCGATGTCCCCATCCCACTGTCCCCATCCCGATGTGATCCCAGTGTCCTTGTCCCAATGTCCCCATCCCAACGTCACCCTGCTGTCCCCATCCCGATGTCCTTGTCCCCGTGTTCCCGTCCCACTGTCCCTGTCCCAATGTCCCCACCCCGATGTCCTTGTTCTGATGCCCCCGTGTCCCCATCCCGCTGTCCCCACCCTGATGTCCTTGTCCCCGTGTCCTCATCCCAGTGTCCCCATTACCAATGTCCTTGTCCCCCTGTCCCCGTGTCCCCGTCCTGATGTCCTTGTCCTGATGGGGATCATGGGGATGGGGTCACCCTAACTGGGGACATCTTGGGGACATTGTGGGGATGGGGTCACCCCAATGGGGGACATTTGGGGACACTTTGGGGACATTTGGGGGACATTTGGGGCCACCCCCCTGCTGTCACCTCCCCAGCTGCTCCCACTCCACGCTGGGGACACTTTGGGGACATTTTGGGGATGGGGTCACCCCAATGGGGGACATTTTGGGGACACAGGGATGGTGTAACCCCACACAGGGACATTTGGGGCCATTTGGGGCCATTTGGGGCCACCCCCCCGCATCACCTCCCCAGCTGCTCCCACTCCAGGCTGGGGGCACTTTGGGGACATTTTGAGGATGGGGTCACCCCACTTGGGGACATTTGGAGACACTTTGGGGATGGGGTCACCCCAATTAGGGACATTTTGGGGACACAGGGACAGGACCACCCTAACTGGGAACATTCTGGGGATGGGGTCACCCCACTTGGGGACATTTGGAGACACTTTGGGGATGGGGTCACCCCAATTAGGGACATTTTGGGGACACAGGGACAGGACCACCCTAACTGGGAACATTCTGGGGATGGGGTCACCCCACTTGGGGACACTTTGGGGACATTTGGGGCCACCCCCCCGCGTCACCTCCCCAGCTGCTCCCACTCCATGCTGGGGACACTTTGGGGACATTTTGGGGACAGGGTCACCCCAATTAGGGACACTTCGGGGACATTTTGGGGATGGGGTCACCCTATTTGGGGACATCTTGGGGACATGGGGAAAGGGTGACCCCAACTGGGGACATTTTTGGGAGACTCTGGGGATGGGGTCACCCCAATTGGGGACATTATGGGGACACAGGGACGGGGTTACCCCAACTGGGAACATTCTGGGGACGGGGTCACCCTAATTGGGGACATTTTGGGGACATTTGGGGACATGGGGAAAGAGTGACCCCAACTGGGGACATTTTTGGGACATTCTGGGGATGGGGTCACCCCAATTAGGGACATTTTGGGGACATGGGGAGGGGGTCACCCCAACTGGGGACATTCTGGGGATGGGGCTCACCCCAATTAGGGACATTTTGGGGACATTTGGGGATGGGGTCACCCTAATTAGGGACACTTTGGGGACATTTGGGGACATTGTGGGGGACACTTTGGGGATGGGGTCACCCCAATGGGGGACACTTGGGGGACATTTGGGGACATGTCCCTCGCCGTGTCACCTCCCCAGCTGCTCCCACTCCACACTTGGGACGTTTTGGGGACATGGGGATGAGGTCACCCCAACTGGGGACATTTTGGGGATGGGGTCAACCCAATGGGGGACACTTTGGGGATGGGGTCACCCCACTCAATTAGGGATGGGGACATTTTGGGGATGGGGTCACCCTAACTGTTGACATTTTGGGGACATGGGAATGGGGTGACCCTAATTCAGGACATCTTGGGGACATTGTGGGGAGGGTGTCACCCCACTTGGGGACATTTTGGGGACACAGGGATGGTGTCACCCCATTTGGGGACATTTGGGGGACACTTTGGGGACATTTTGGGGATGGAGTCACCCCAATGGGGGACATTTTGGGGACACAGGGACAGAGTCACCCCAACTGTGTACATTTTGGGGACATTTTGGGGACATGGGGAAAGGGTGACCCCAACTGGGGACATTTTTGGGACATTCTGGGGATGGGGTCACCCCAATTGGGAACATTTTGGGGACACAGGGACAAGATCACCCTAACTGGGGACATTTTGGGGATGGGGTCACCCCAATGGGGGACACTTTGGGGACATTTTGGGGATGGGGGCACCCCAGGTGGGGGCTTGGGGACATCGTGGGGGTGGGGGCACCCCAACTGGGGACACTTTTGGGACATTTGGGGACATTGTGGGGAGCGGGAGGGACTCACCCCAATTAGGGACATTTTAGGGACATGGGGATGGCATGACCCTAATTGGGGACATCTTGGGGACATTCTGGGGATGGGGTCACCCCAATTAGGGATAGGGACATTTTGGGGATGGGGTCCAGGAACTGGGGGGGGACTGGGAAGGGACTGGGGGAGACTGGGAAGGGACTGGGAAGGGACTGGGGAGATGAGGGGGGGCGCTGGGAGGGGCTGGGAGGGCGCTGGGGGGAGATAGGGGGGAGCCGGGGGGGTGCGGGGGGACACTGGGAGAGACTGGGGGGGCACTGGGAGAGATTGGGGAGCGCTGGGAGAGACTGGGAAGTGCTGGGAGAGCACTGGGAAGCACTGGGAGAGCACTGGAAGGTGCTGGGGGTCTCTGGGAGAGACTGGGGGGAACTGGGAGAGACTGGGGGGGACACAGGGAAAGGCCAGGAGAGACTGGAGGGTACTGGGAGTATTGAGAAAGCTTTGGAGGGGCACTGGGAGGCACTGGGGGAGACTGGGGGGGCACTGGGAGCACTGGGAAGACTTTGGAGGGGCACTGGGAGGCGCTGGAGGGCACTGGGAGCACTGCCCCTGGGCTACATGGGGCTATAGGTACCCCAGGCCATAGGGGCCATAGGGACCCAGCTATAGGGCCCTATAGGGACCCCCACCCCATATGGCCCTATAGAGCCCTATACGGACCTATAGGGTCCTACAGGGAGCCTGGGACATAGAGGGCCATAGGGGGCCACCTATAGGGTCCTATAGGGACCCCGGGCCATAGGGACCCAGCTATAGGGCCCCGTAAGGACCCCAGGCCATAGGGGCCCACCTATAGCGTCCTATAGGGACCCCAAGCCATAGGGACCCAGCTACAGGACCCCATAAGCACCCCAGGCCATAGGGCCCCATAGGGACCCGCTTCTAGGGGCCACAGGGCCTCCCCTATAGGGCCCCATAGGGACCCCAGGCCACAGGGGCCCTCCTCTGGGCCCCGCAGGCCCCGCCCCCCGTCCCCAGGCCCCGCCCCCTGTTTGTGAGCGTGTGCGCTGCGGGCCGGGCGCAGGTGCGGGCAGGGGAGAGGTGAGGCGGCGCGAGGCGAGGCAGGCGGGGGGGGGAGAGCCCCCTTCACGTGACCCCAGGGGGGGCTTGGGACCCCCCCACATTACCCTGAGGGGTTTTGGGGCCTTGGGACCCCCCCCCAGTGTGACCCCGGGGGGCCTTGAGGGGCCTTGAGGGGCCTTGGGACCGTCCCACACTGCTCGGGGGGGGGATTTGGGGCCTTGGGACCCCCCCCAAATGGCCCCGGGGGGGCTTTGGGACCCCCCCGTTTAACCCTAGGGGGTCTTTAGGGTCTCAGGACCCCCCCACCCCAAGTGACCCTGGGGGGCTTTGCCCCCCCCCAGTATTACTCCGGGGGGTCTCGGGACCCCCCCGTGTAACCTCAGGGGGTGTTTGGGGTCTCGGGACCCCCCCAAACGACTCATGGGGGGTGTTTGCCCCCCCCACGTCCCCATTCTGCAGGACCTGGGGGGGGCCCTCTCCAAATGGGGGGGCCCCCAACACCCCCCAACCTGTGTCCCCCCCCACCAGCGCTGCTGTCACCATGTCCTCAAAGCGCCCAGCTGGTCCCCAGGACCCGGCCCCCAGCTCCCCCCCCAGCACGTGAGTTGTGTTTTTTTTTTGGGGGGGGGAGGTGACAACAGCCCCCCCCCTCGCTGTCCCCATTGTCCCCACAGGGACACCAGTGACAATGACAACTCCGGCAGCGACATCGAGGCCACCCTGCAGGAGAAGCCGGGGGCTCAGGGGGGGCCCGGCCCCTGCCCCGTACGTGTCCCCTTTGTCCCCCCCCCCCGTCCCCAGTCCTTACAGGGTCCCCGTGTCCCCTCACCCTTTGGGATCACCATGTCCCCAATCCTTATAGGGTCCCCGTGTCTTCTGGCCCTTTGGGATCCCCATTCCCCATAGGGTCACCATGTCCCCAATCCTTATAGCGTCACCCATTCCCCATCGGGTCCCCGTGTCCTCAATCCTTATAGGGTCCCCGTGTCCCCTTGCCCTTTGGGATCCCCATTCCCCATAGGGTCCCTGTGTCCCCAATCCTTATAGTGTCCCCGTGTCCCCTGGCTCTTTGGGATCCCCATTCCCCATAGGGTCCCCGTGTCCACAGTCCTTATAGGGTCCCCGTGTCCCCAATCCTTATAGGGTCACCATGTCCCCTCACCCTTTGGGACCACCGTGTCCCCAATCCTTATAGGGTCACCATGTCCCCTCACCCTTTGGGATCACCGTGTCCCCAATCCTTATAGGGTCACCATATCCCCTTGGCCTTTGGGGTCCCCATTCCCCGTAGGGTCCCCGTGTCCCCTGGCCCTTTGGGGTGGCCGTGACCCCCACCCCATACCCCGCAACCCCTGGAGCAGGCGCTGGCGCACACGGGGCCGGAGGTGCTGGGGGCGGCCTCCCGAGCCCAGGGGGCCCTCGGCAGCCGGGGGTCGCAGCTGTGGGGGCGTTGGGAACTGGTGAGGAGCCGCCTACGGGTACACGGGGGGGTCCCAAAACCCCTCAAAGTCACATTCGGGGGGAGGCCCAAAGCCCCTCAAGGTCACTTGGGGGGGGTCCTAAGGCCGCAATCCCCCCCCGGTGCCATTTCGGGGGGGGGGTCCCATGGCTCTCAGCCACCCCCTGGCGTCACACTGGGGGGGTCCCAACACCCCAAGCCCCCCAAAGACATGTGGGGGGGGTCCCAAAGCCCTACAAACCCCCCCAGAGTCACATGGGGGGGTCCTAAAGCCCCCCCGGGGCCATTCAGGGGCAATCCCAAGGCCCCTCAAGGCCCCCCTGGGGTCACACTGGGGGGAGTGACAAGGCCCCAAAACCCCCCCGGGGGCCACATTGGGGGGGGTTCCAAGGCCCCAAAGGCCCCCCCAAACAATTTGGAGGGGTCCCAAAACCCCCGATCCCCCCCCGGGGCCATTTGGAGGGGGCCCCAAGGCCCCCCCGGGGTCACGTGGAGGGGGCCCAAAGCCCCCCCGGGGCCATTTGGGGGGGGTTCCAAGGCCCCAAAGCCCCCTCTGAAAAATTTGGGGGGGTCCCAAGGCCGCGCAACCCCCCCCGGGGCCATTTGGGGGGGGCCTCCAAGGCCCCAAAGCCCCCCCGGGGTCACGTGGAGTGGGCCCAAAACCCCTCCGGGGCCATTTTGGGGGGATCCCAAGGTCCCAAATCCCCCCTGAGCAATGTGGGGGGGGGGCCCAAGACACCCGGTTCCCCCCCCGGGGCCATTTGGGGGGGGTCTCAAGTCCCCAACGCCCCCCCCGGGGCCATTTGGGGGGGTCCCAAGGCCCCTCAAGGCCCCTCAAGGCCCTTCAAGGCCTCCCTGGGGTCACACATTAGGTGGGGTCCCAAGGCCCCAACCCCCCCCCCCGGGGTCACATGGGGGGGTCCCAAGCCCCCCCCGGGGTCACGTGAGGGGGGCTCTCCCCCCCCCCCCCCCCCAACCTCGTTTTGCGCCGCCGCCGCTTTCCTGCGCCCGCACGTGCGCCCGGCCCTGGGGGAGGGCGGGGCCTGAGCGGAGGTGGGCGGGGCCTGCGGGGCCCAGAGGAGGGCCCCTGTGGCCTGGGGTCCCTATGGGGCCCTATAGGGGAGGCCCTGTGGCCCCTAGAAGCGGGTCCCTATGGGGCCCTATGGCCTGGGGTGCTTATGGGGTCCTGTAGCTGGGTCCTTCTGGCCCCCTATGGCCTGGGGTCCCTATACGACCCTATAGGTGGTCCCCTGTGGCCTGGGGTCCCTATATTGCCCTATAGCCAGTTCCCTGTAACGCTCTATAACCAAGTCCCTATAGCAGCACCCTGTGGTCTGCGGTCCCTATAGGAACCTATAGGTGGGCCCCTATAGCCTAGGGTCCCTATGGGGCCCTATAGCCGGGTCCCTATAGCGCCCTATAACCAGGTCACTATGGTACCCCATGGCCTGGGGTCCCTATATTGCCCTATAGCCAGTTCCCTGTAACGCTCTGTAACCAAGTTCCTATAGCACCCTGTGGTCTGTGGTCCCTATAGGACCCTATAGGTGGGCCCCTATAGCCCCCTATTGGCCCAGGTTCCCTGTAGGGCTCTATAGGGCCCTATGGCCCAGGGTCTTTTTAGAACCCTATAGGCAGCTCCCTATGGCCCTCTATGGCCCAGGGTCCCTATGGGGCCCTATAGGTCGCCCCCTATGGCCTGGGGTCCCTATAGGACCCTATAGGCGTCTCCCTATGGCCCTCTGTGGAGGAATGGTTCAGGGAAGCAGGACATGTGCATGTTGAGCAGTTCAGAGGCAATGGGCTAGTGAAGTGCCGGACTCAACTCCTAGGAGTCTGGCACGTACGCATGCTGGCTGAGAGCCAATCAGGCTCAAGGACACGTACGCAGCTGGCTGAGAGCCAATCAGGCTCAAGGACACGATGCCCTTGGGCGATCGGGACAGTCCCTAAGGCGGGACAGGGAGCTAAAAGAAGGAGGAGCAGACTGCAAAGCCCGGGAAGTGTCAGCCAGTCCTGAGCTGAGTTTCTGCAATATGCATGAGCTGATTATGTTCGAACTGGAGAAAAGGCGACTGAGCTCTCCATTAAAGTTGAAGTTCACTGTTCACTCCTATGGAGCGTCTGTGTCTTCCTTCTGTCGACAACACCCCAGTGCCCCCCAGCATCACCCCAAAGCCTCCCAGCACCACCCCAGTGCCCCCAGCGCTACCCCAGTGCCACCCAGTGCCTCCCAGCACCACCCCAGTGCCCCCCAGCGCCCCCCCACCTGTATCGGTGCACGAAGACCCCCTTGAAGATGGCGTTCATCACGGCCTCGATCTCCTCCTGCTGCTCCTGGAGCTGGACGGCACCCACGGGCGTCACCGGGGCGCCCGTGCCCGTGTCCCCACCGCGTCCCCAAAAGTCACCCATCTCCCGCAGCGTCTCCTGCAGCACCTCCAGCTTGCCGGGGGCTCTCCGGGGGGGGCTTTTCCCCCTTTCGGCCTCGTAGAGCCTCTGGGTGTTGTCGCGGCGCTGGCTCAGCCCCAGCGCCACCTCCACCAGCGCCGTCATCAGCTTCATGGCTGGGGACAGCGGGACGGTGGCGGGGGGGGGCGTCGGGGACACCCGGCGGGTGACAAGTTGGGGGTGGGGGGTGTCACCTACCTGCCAAGGTGGCCGTGTGGCGGAAGGCGCGCACTTGGGAGTCGGCGAGGCTGGTGAGCAGCGCGGTGAGGCCGCCGAGGAGGAAGCCATCGTAGAGGACGGCGTGGCGGCTCCGCAGGGCCACCGCTGTCACCACGGCCCCAAAAGAGGCCCGAAAATGGCGCCACGGCCCCGTGGAGAGGGACAGGGGGTAGTCGGAGGAGTCCTGGGGGGGGACACGGGGGCAGAACGGGGACACGAAGGGATGAGGCGGTGGGGATGGACAGGGGGGAAATGGGGGCGGAAAGGGAGAAAATGGGGGCGGAAAGGGAGAAAATGGGGACACAAGGGGACAAAGCGGGGACACAAGGGGGCAACACAGGGGGATGTAAAGAGACAAAATAGGGAGAACATAAAGGGACAAAATAGGGACGCAAAGGGACAACATGCGGACACAAGGGGACAAAACAGGGACACAAGGGGACAAAATGGGGGGATTGGTAGGGACGGACAAAATGGTGGGACACAAAGGGACAACATGGGGATGCAAAGGGACAAAATGGGGATGCAAAGGGACAAAATAGGGATACAAAGGGACAAAATAGGGACACAAAGGGACAAAATGGGGGATTGGAAGGGACAGAACAGGGACACAAAGGGACAACGTGGTGGGAACGTAAAGGGACAAAATGAGGGGGGCATAAAGGGACAAGATGGGGATTGGAAGGGACAAAATAGGGGGGACATAAAGGGACAAAATGGGGCGGTGGAAAGGGGTGAAATTGGGAATGAAAAGGGACAAGGTGGTGGGGATGTAAAGGGACAAAATACCCATTTTGTCCCATGCAAAGGGGACAACGAAAAGGGGGACCATGGAAAGGGACAAAATGGGGGGGGACATAAAGGGACAAAATGGGGACACAAAGGGACAAAATGAGGAAAGGCAAAGGGATAAAATGGGGGCACACAAAGGGACAAAATGGGGGAACGCAAAGGGACAGAACTGTGGGGACGACAAAATGGGGACGCAAGGGGACAAAATGGCGGCCTCACGCAGGTGACAAGATGGCTGCCTCACAGAGATGACAAACTGGAGGCAATGCAGAAAAATAACGTGTTGGGGACACAGGGACAAAGCGTTGGGTCACACAGGTGACAAAGTGGCAGGGATGCAGAGGGACAAAATAGCAAGGAAGTGAGGTGACAAGATGGCGGCGTCACACAGGTGACAAGATGGCCGCCTCACAGAAATAACAAAAAAGCAGCAATACGAAAAATATAAAGCATCCAGGATGTTATAAGTTGCCCCCTTAATTAATTTTCAGAGAGCATTGCATTAATAATAGAAAGGAATTTATTGAGTAAGCAACAGCAAGCAAAACAGCGCTGGGCGGCCGGGGAGTCTCGGCTCCGCCAACGGCGTGCACCTCACCCCCCCCAGGGTCCCTTTTTATATCTTGGTGATTTCAGGATTACGCAGCACGTCCGGGTATGTTCTGCGACTGCGCGCACTGTTGCTAGGGGGTCGTCTCTGTCCCTCTGGTGGTCGTGAAGATGAAGGCCGTAGTCTTCCTCGGCGTTGTGGTTCAACTTCTTTCTTTATTTGGTCATGTTGGCCCAGCGTGAGACAGGAAGGCAGGATGTTGATACACTAGTTTAACAACTTATCAGGAGATGGTTACATGAACTTTGCAGCAGTGTTTTTTGAACAAAAGAGGCTACTGAGATGCAGAAGGAGAGAAGGGGAGAGGGTTCTCTTTTTTGTTACATTAAGCAAAGGAATTTTCGTAGTGTCTAGCTAAGCATTATACAGCTCCTTACTTCAGCAGGGAGTTTTCACAACTCCCATTCCTCAAACAGAACTCCTTGTTTTTACAAAAGACAATGAACAAACATTTATTGTGTATTACACAGGACACAAGGGACAAAATGCTGGGGTCACACAGGTGACAAAATGGAGGGGACGCAAAGAGAGGAAGTGGTGGGGATGCAAGGAGACAAGATGGCAGCGTCACAGCGGTGACAAGATGGCCGCCTCACAGAGGAGACAAGATGGCGGCATCCCCACACCACCACACATCCCCCAGTACCTCGCTGAAGGTCTCGGTCAGCCGCTGGATGATCTCGGTGTTCTGCTGCTCCCGCAGCATGGCCAGCGTCACCGTGCCTGCCGGGAGGGGACACGGCGGGTGACGGGGACGTCCCCCGGGGGGGTGACAGGGGGACGGGGAGCGGGGCGGCCGCACCTCGGCAGCCGCAGGAGCGGACGATGAAGTTGACGAGCTCCAGGAAGGCCGGCTCCCGGTCCCGCTTGTAGCCCTGCAGCCACTCGTCCACCGCCACCTGCGGGCACAGTGACACGTGGTGACACGTGGTGACACGTGGTGACATGTGGTGGCACGTGGTGGCACGTGGTGACATGTGGTGGCATGTGGTGACACGTGGTGGCCCCACATTTGAGCAAATGCCCCCCCCCCCCATGTCCCCTTCCCAAGGTGGACACGTCCCCGTGTCCCTTTGGGAGCTGGTTTTGCTCGCGTGTCCCTTTATCCCTGTGTGTCCCTGTGCCCCCCAACATGTCCCCATGTCCCCCCCTGTCCCCATGTCCCCCCCTGTCCCCGTGTCACCTCGATGGCCACCCTGCCGTCCATGACAGCCTGGTAGAGGACGTTCTCCTCCGAGCTGCTGCCGTCCTCGCTGGGCTCCCTCCGGGGATGTCTGGGGACCTGCGGAGGTGACACGGGGGTGACAAGGGAGGGCACGGCTTTGGGGACGGGGGGGGGGACAAAGGGGACACGTACAGGGCGGAGGCGGGTGCTGGGCCCCCCCCGAGCCCCCCGCTTCTCCTGCAGGGTGGCCTCGAAGTCGCTGCCGGAGTCGTCGTCACTGCTGCTGGTGTCCCTGTGGGGACAGTGGGGACAGCGAGGGGGGGGGCTGTTGTCACCTCCCCCCCCCCAAAACAAAACAAAACAAAACAAAAACTCAAGGACAATCCCTCCCAGTATGCCCAATAACCCCCCCCAGTGCCCCCCAGTATGCCCAGTGCCCCCCCCATCCCATCCCAGTGCCCTCCCACTACCTCCCAGTTCCCCCCATTGACCCCCCCAGCCCATCGTCCCCCTGTCCCCCTGTCCCCATCCCAGTGTCCCCATTACCAATGTCTTTGTCCCCAATATCCCCATCCTGCTGTCCCCATCCCATTGTCCCACTGTCCCCGTGTCCCCATCCCAATGTCCTTCTCCTGATGTCCTTGTCCCGTGTCCCCACCCCAGTGTCCCCATCCCAGTGTCCCCATCCCGATGTCCTTGTCCTGATGTCCCTGTCCCCATGTCCCCATCCTGCTGTCCCCATCCCAGTGTCCTTGTCCCTGTGTCCCCATCCCGATGCCACCATCCTGCTGTCCCAATTCTGATGTCCTTGTCCCCCTGTCCTCATCCCAGTGTCCCCATCCCAATGTCCCACCCTGATATCATCCTGATGTCCTTGTCCCCGTGTCCCCACCCCAATGTCCCCATCCCACTGTCCTTGTCCCCCTGTCCCCATGTCCCTGTGTCCCCATCCCGATGTCCCCATCCCATTGTCCTTGTCCTGATCTCCTTGTCCCCAATATCCCCATCCCGCTGTCCCCGTCCCATTGTCCCCCTGTCCCCATGTCCCCGTATCCCCACCCCAATGTCCTTGTCCTGATGTCCTTGTCCCAATGTCCCCATCCCAGTGTCCCCATTACCAATGTCCTTGTCCCACTGTCCCCATCCCAATGTGCCCACCCCAATGTCCTTGTCCCCGTGTCCCCACCCCAATGTCCTTGTCCCCGTGTCCCCATCGCAGTGTCCTTGTCCTGATGTCCTTGTCCCCATGTCCCCATCCCAGTGTCCCCATCCTGTCATCCCGATGTCCTTGTCCCTGTGTCCCCATCCCGATGTCCCCATCCTGATGTCTCCATCCCAATGCCACCACCCCGATGTCATCCCAATGTCCCCATCCCACTCTCCCCACCCCGATGTCCCCATCCCTGTGTCCTTGTCCCAGTGTCCCCATCCCAACGTCCTCATCCCAATGTCCTTGTCCCGATGTCCCCACCCCTATGTCCCCGTGCCAATGTCCTTGTCCCAGTGTCCCCATCCTGATCTCATATCGATGTCCTTGTCCCGATGTCCCCATCCCAGTGTCCTTGTCCTGATGTCCTTGTCCCCATGTCCCCATCCCATTGTCCCCGTGTCCCCATGCCCCCATCCTGCTGTCCCCATTGTCCCCCTGTCCCCGTCCCCCCCCTCAGAGCCGCAGGACGTAGGAGTCGCTGTGTGTCAGGTGCCGCACCCAGCGCTGGGGGGGTCCGGGGGAAGCGCGGGGGAGGCACTGGGAGAGACTGGGGGGGACTGGGAGAGACTGGGGGGGACTGGGAGTATTGGGAAAGCTTTGGAGGGGCACTGGGAGGCACTGGGGGAGACTGGAGGGGCACTGGGAGCACTGGGAAGGCTTTGGAGGGGCACTGGGAGCACCGCCCCTGGGCCATAGGGGGCTATAGGGACCCCAGGCCATGGGGGCCATAGGGACCCAGCTATAGGGCCCTATAGGGACCCACGCCATAGGGCCCTATAGAGCCCTATAGGGACCTATAGAGCCATAGAGGGCCATAGGGACCTATAGGGCTTTAGGGACCTATAGGGTCCTATAGGGACCCTGGGACATAGAGGGCCATAGGAAGACGCCTATAGGGTCCTATAGGAACCCCAGGCCATAGGGCCCTATAGAGCCCTACAGGGAACCTGGGCCAATAGGGGGCTATAGGGGCCCACCTATAGGATCCTATAGGGACCGCAGACCACAGGGTGCTGCTATAGGGACTTGGTTATAGAGCGTTATAGGGAACTGGCTATAGGGCAATATAGGGACCCCAGGCCATAGGGTGCCATAGCGACCTGGTTATAGGGCGCTATAGGGACCCGGCTATAGGGCCCCATAGGGACCCCAGGCTATAGGGGCCCACCTATAGGGTCCTATAGGGACCCCAAGCCATAGGGGGCCAGAAGGACCCAGCTACAGGACCCCATAAGCACCCCAGGCCATAGGGCCCCATAGGGACCCGCTTCTAGGGGCCACAGGGCCTCCCCTATAGGGCCCCATAGGGACCCCAGGCCACAGGGGCCCTCCTCTGGGCCCCGCAGGCCCCGCCCCCCTGTCCCCAGGCCCCGCCCCCTGTTTGTGAGCGTGCGCGCTGCGGGCCGGGCGCAGGTGCGGGCAGGGGAGAGGTGAGGCGGCGCGAGGCGAGGCAGGCGGGGGGGGGGAGAGCCCCCTTCACGTGACCCCAGGGGGGGCTTGGGACCCCCCCACATTACCCTGAAGGGTTTTGGGGCCTTGGGACCCCCCCCAGTGTGACCCCGGGGGGCCTTGAGGGGCCTTGAGGGGCCTTGAGGGGCCTTGAGGGGCCTTGGGACCGTCCCACACTGCTCAGGGGGGGGGGGTTGGGGGCCTTGGGACCCCCCCCAAATGGCCCCGGGGGGGTTGGGGGCTTTGGGTCTCCCCCCGAGTGACCTTGAGGGGCTTTGGGACACCCCCCAATGGTACTCTGGGGGGCTTTGGGTCCTCCCCGTGTAACCTCAGGGGGTGTTTGGGGTCTCGGGACCCCCACAAACGACTCATGGGGGGTGTTTGCCCCCCCCACGTCCCCATTCTGCAGGACCTGGGGGGGGCCCTCTCCAAATGGGGGGGCCCCCAACACCCCCCAACCTATGTCCCCCCCCCCACCGCAGATTTCACCATGTCCTCAAAGCGACCAGCTGGTCCCCAGGACCCGCCCCCCAGCTCCCCCCCCAGCACGTGAGTTGTGTTTTTTTTGTTGTTTTTTTTTTTTGGGGGGGGGAGGTGACAACAGCCCCCCCCCCTCGCTGTCCCCACTGTCCCCACAGGGACACCAGCAGCAGTGACAACGACTCCAGCAGCGACTTCGAGGCCACCCTGCAGGAGAAGCGGGGGGCTCGGGGGGGGCCCGGCCCCCGCCCTGTACGTGTCCCCTTTGTCCCCGTCCCCGTCCCCAAAGCCGTGCCCTCCCTTGTCACCCCCGTGTCACCTCCGCAGGTCCCCAAACGTCCCCGGAGGGAGCCCAGCGAGGACGGCAGCAGCTCGGAGGAGAACGTCCTCTACCAGGCCGTCATGGACGGCAGGGTGGCCATCGAGGTTTTACACGGGGACAGGGGGGGACATGGGGGGACATGGGGACAGGGGGGGACATGGGGACATGTTGGGGGGCACAGGGACACACAGGGATAAAGGGACACGCGAGCAAAACCAGCTCCCAAAGGGACACGGGGACGTGTCCACCTTGGGAAGGGGACATGGGGGGGGGGGCACTTGCTCAAATGTGGGGCCACCACGTGTCACCACGTGCCACCACATGTCACTACGTGCCACCACGTGCCACCACATGTCACCACGTGTCACCACGTGTCACCACGTGTCACTGTGCCCGCAGGTGGCGGTGGACGAGTGGCTGCAGGGCTACAAGCGGGACCGGGAGCCGGCCTTCCTGGAGCTCGTCAACTTCATCGTCCGCTCCTGCGGCTGCCGAGGTGCGGCCGCCCCGCTCCCCGTCCCCCTGTCACCCCCCCAGGGGACGTCCCCGTCACCCGCCATGTCCCCTCCCAGCAGGCACGGTGACGCTGGCCATGCTGCGGGAGCAGCAGAACACCGAGATCATCCAGCGGCTGACCGAGACCTTCAGCGAGGTACTGGAGGATGTGTGGTGGTGTGGGGATGCCGCCATCTTGTCTCCTCTGTCAGGCGGAGTTGGTTGCCATCACGGAGACGTGGTGGGACCAGTCTCATGACTGGAGTGCTGCGATGCCTGGCTATAGGCTCTTCAGAAGGGACAGGCAGCACAGAAGGGGTGGCGGTGTGGCTCTCTATATTAGAGAGTATTTCGATATTGTAGAACTCGAGGCTAGGAATGACAAGGTCGAGTCCCTTTGGGTTAGGATCGGCAGGGACAACAAGGCTAGTGTCCTGGTCGGGGTCTGCTATAGACCGCCGAACCAGGATGAGGAGACGGATGAGGAGTTCTACAGGCAGCTGACAGAAGTTGCGAATTCGTCGGCGCTTGTACTCGTGGGAGACTTCAACTTCCCTGACATATCCTGGAAGCACAACACAGCCCAGAGGAAGCAGTCTAGGAGGTTTCTGGAGAAAGTGGAAGATAGCTTCCTGACGCAGCTGATTAGTGAACCTACCAGGGGTGGTGCCCTGCTAGACCTTCTCTTCACAAACAGAGAAGGACTGGTGGAGGATGTGATTGTCGGGAACAGTCTTGGGCAGAGTGACCACGAAATGGTGGAGTTCACTATTCTTGGCGGGGCCAGGAAGGGAACCAGTAAAACCACTGTATTGGACTTTCGGAGGGCTGACTTTGGGCTGCTCAGGACACTAGTTGGTGGAGTCCCATGGGAGGCGGTTCTGAAGGGCAGAGGGGTCCAGAAAGGCTGGGCGCTCTTTAAGAGGCAAATCCTAATGGCGCAGGAGCGGTCTGTCCCCATGTGCCCAAAGATGAGCCAGCGGGGAAGAAGACCAGCCTGGCTCAACAGAGAATTGTGGCTTGAGCTTAGGAGGAAAAAGAGGGTTTATAATCTTTGGAAAATTGGGCAGGCCACTAAGGAGGACTATAAGGATGTAGCGAGGCTGTGCAGGGACAAGATTAGGAAGGCCAAAGCTCATCTGGAGCTCAATCTGGCTACTGCTGTTAAAGATAACAAAAAACGCTTTTATAAATACATCAACACAAAAAGGAGGACTAGGGAGAATCTCCATCCTTTACTGGATGCGGGGGGAAACTTAGTTACAAGAGATGAGGAAAAGGCGGAGGTGCTTAATGCCTTCTTTGCCTCAGTCTTTAGCGGCAAAACCGGTTGCTCTCTGGATACCCAGTACCCAGAACTGGTGGAAGGGGACGGGGAGCAGGATGTGGCCCTCACCATCCACGAAGAACTGGTTGGTGACCTGCTACGGCACTTGGATGTCCACAAATCGATGGGGCCGGATGGAATCCACCCAAGGGTACTGAGAGAACTGGCAGAGGAGCTGGCCAAGCCCCTATCCATCATTTATCAGCAGTCCTGGCTATCGGGGGAGGTCCCAGCTGACTGGCGACTAGCAAATGTGACGCCCATCTACAAGAAGGGCCGGAGGGCAGACCCGGGGAACTACAGGCCGGTCAGTTTGACCTCAGTACCAGGGAAGCTCATGGAGCAGATCCTCTTGGGAGTCATCATGCGGCACTTGAAGGGCAAGCAGGCGATCAGGCCCAGCCAGCATGGGTTTATGGAAGGCAGGTCCTGCTTGACGAACCTGATCTCCTTCTACGACAAAGTGACGCGCTGGGTGGATGAGGGAAAGGCTGTGGATGTGGTCTACCTTGACTTCAGCAAGGCTTTTGACACCGTCTCCCACAGCATTCTCCTCAAGAAACTGGCTGCTCTTGGCTTGGACTGGCGCACGCTTCGTTGGGTGAGAAACTGGCTGGATAGCCGGGCCCAAAGAGTTGTGGTAAATGGAGCCAAGTCCAGTTGGAGGCCAGTCACTAGTGGCGTCCCCCAGGGCTCGGTGCTGGGGCCGGTCCTCTTTAACATCTTCATCAATGATCTGGATGACGGCATTGAGTGCACCCTCAGTAAGTTTGCAGATGACACCAAGCTATGCTCATGTGTCGATCTGCTCGAGGGTAGGAAAGCTCTGCAGGAGGATCTGGATAGGCTGCACCGATGGGCTGAGGTCAACTGTATGAAGTTCAACAAGGCCAAGTGCCGGGTCCTGCACCTGGGGCGCAATAACCCCAAGCAGAGCTACAGGCTGGGAGAGGAATGGTTGGAGAGCTGCCAGGCAGAGAAGGACCTGGGAGTGATGGTGGACAGTCGGCTGAATATGAGCCAGCAGTGTGCTCAGGTGGCCAAGAAGGCCAACGGCATCCTGGCTTGTATCAGAAACACTGTGACCAGCAGGGCTAGGGAGGTGATCGTCCCCCTGTACTCGGCTCTGGTGAGGCCGCACCTCGAGTACTGTGTTCAGTTTTGGGCCCCTCGCTACAAGAAGGACATCGAGGTGCTTGAGCGGGTCCAAAGAAGGGCGACGAAGCTGGTGAGGGGCCTGGAGAGCAAGTCCTATGAGGAGCGGCTGAAGGAGCTGGGCTTGTTCAGCCTAGAGAAGAGGAGGCTCAGGGGTGACCTTATCACTCTGTATAAGTACATTAGAGGAGGCTGTAGAGAGGTGGGGGTTGGCCTGTTCTCCCATGTGCCTGGTGACAGGACGAGGGGGAATGGGCTAAAGTTATGCCAGGGGAGTTTTAGGTTAGATGTTAGGAAGAATTTCTTTACTGAAAGGGTTGTGAGGCATTGGAACAGGCTGCCCAGGGGGGTGGTGGAGTCACCATCCCTGGAAGTCTTCAAAAGACGTTTAGATGTAGAGCTTAGGGATATGGTTTAGTGGGGACTGTTAGTGTTAGGTTAGAGGTTGGACTCGATGATCTTGAGGTCTCTTCCAACCTAGAAATTCTGTGATTCTGTGATTCTGTGATTCTGCGGCCATCTTGTCTCCTCTGTGAGGCGGCCATCTTGTCGTCTCTGTGAGGCGGCCATCTTGTCACCAGTGTGACGCCGCCATCTTGTCCCCTTGCGTCCCTGCCACTTCATCCCTTTGCGTCCCCTCCATTTTGTCCCTTTTGTGACTGCAGCATTTTGTCCCTTGTGTCCCTGATACTTTAGTTTTATGCGCTGTTACCGTTTTCTCACCTCTGTGAGGCAGCCATCTTGTCACTGCTTTGACGCCGCCATCTTGTCCCTTTGCATCCCCACCACTTTGTCCCTTTGCGTCCCCAAATTCATCACCCCTTTCTGCCACCCATTCTTTCCCTTTGTGTCCCCATTTTGTCCCTTTTTGTCCCCACATTTTGTCCTTTTACGTCCCCATTTTGTCCCTTTATGTCCCCCCCATTTTATCCCTTTCCATTCCCAATTTCACCCCTTTCTGCCACCCATTTTTTCCCTTTCTGTCCCCATTTTCCCCCTTTGCATCCCCACCACTTTGTCCCTTTACGTCCCCCTCATTTTGTCTCTTTCCACCCCCATTTTCTCCCTTTCCGCCCCCATTTCCCCCCGTCCATCCCCGCCGCCTCATCCCTTCGTGTCCCTGTTCTGCCCCCGTGTCCCCCCCCAGGACTCCTCCGACTACCCCCTGTCCCTCTCCACGGGGCCGTGGCGCCGTTTTCGGGCCTCTTTTGGGGCCGTGGTGACAGCGGTGGCCCTGCGGAGCCGCCACGCCGTCCTCTACGATGGCTTCCTCCTCGGCGGCCTCACCGCACTGCTCACCAGCCTCGCCGACTCCCAAGTGCGCGCCTTCCGCCACACGGCCACCTTGGCAGGTAGGTGACACCCCCCACCCCCAACTTGTCACCCGCCGGGTGTCCCCGACGCCCCCCCGCCACCGTCCCGCTGTCCCCAGCCATGAAGCTGATGACGGCGCTGGTGGAGGTGGCGCTGGGGCTGAGCCAGCGCCGCGACAACACCCGGAGGCTCTACGAGGCCGAAAGGGGGAAAAGCCCCCCCCGGAGAGCCCCCGGCAAGCTGGAGGTGCTGCAGGAGACGCTGCGGGAGGTGGGTGACGTTTGGGGACGCGGTGGGGACACGGGCACGGGCGCCCCGGTGACGCCCGTGGGTGCCGTCCAGCTCCAGGAGCAGCAGGAGGAGATCGAGGCCGTGATGAACGCCATCTTCAAGGGGGTCTTCGTGCACCGATACAGGTGGGGGGGCGCTGGAGTGGTGCTGGGCGGAACTGGGTACCACTGGGTGGCACTGGGTGGCATTGGGGTGGTGCTGGGGGGCACTGGGTGGCATTGGGATGGTGCTAGGGGGCACTGGGGTGGTGCTGGAGGGCACTGGGGTGATGCTGGAGGATACTGGGTGGCACTGGGGTGGCTCTGGGCGGCACTGCATGGTGCTGGGCAGCACTGGGGTGGTGCTGGGGGCACTGGGTGGCAGTGGGTGGCACTGGGAACAGCGTGGTTAGGGACTGGAGCCAGTGGGGAGAGCCCAGTTGGGGACTGGGACCAGTTTGGAACTGGGACGCAACCAAGTTGGGTTCTCCTTGGAGAAGGTTGTCACCAGGAGGGGTTGTCACTGTGGTGGCACTGGGGACAGCCCAGTTGGGAACTGGGACCAGTTTGCATCTGGGAATGAAACTAAGTTGAGTTTTCCTTGGAGAACGTCACCAGTTGTGGTTGGGACCTGGGACCAGTCTGGAACTGGGATGGAACCAAGTTGGGTTCTCCTTGGAGAACGTCACCAGGAGGGGTTGGGGACTGGGACCAGTTGGGACCTGGGACCAGATTGGAACTGGGACGAAACCAAGTTGGGTTCTCCTCAGAGAACGTCACCAGTAAGGGTTTGGAACTGGGACCAGTTTGGAACTGGGACGGAACCAAGTTGGGTTCTCCTTGGAGAACATCACCAGTTGTGGTTGGGAACTGGGACCAGTTTGGAACTGGGACGGAACCAAGTTGGGTTCTCCTTGGAGAAGGTTGTCACCAGGAGGGGTTGTCACTGTGGTGGCACTGGGGACAGCCCAGTTGGGAACTGGGACCAGTTTGCATCTGGGAATGAAGCTAAGTTGAGTTTTCCTTGGAGAACGTCACCAGTAAGGGTTTGGAACTGGGACCAGTTTGGAACTGGGACGGAACCAAGTTGGGTTCTCCTTGGAGAACATAACCAGTTGTGGTTGGGAACTGGGACCAGTTTGGAACTGGGACCAGTTTGGAACTGGGACGGAACCAAGTTGGGTTCTCCTCGGAGAACATCACCAGGAGAGGTTGGGGACCGGGACCAGGACGTTGTCACCAGGACACGGGGGTCCCTGGGGTGGCCCTGGGGACTCCGAGCGTGTCGGGGCCGTGGTGTCCCCGTGGCGGTGTCCCCAAGGCGCTGTCCCCGTGGCGGTGTTCCCGTTGTGGTGTCCCCGACGGGGTGTCCCCGTGGCGCTGTCCCCGTGGCGCTGTCCCCAAGGCGCTGTCCCCCCCCCAGGGACGTGGTGCCCGACGTGCGCGCGCTGTGCATGGAGGAGCTGGGGACGTGGATGTGCAGCTTCCCGGCCTCCTTCCTCACCGACGGCCACCTCAAGTACCTCGGCTGGACCCTGCACGACAAGGTGGGGACATCCTGGGGACACCTCGGGGACATGGGGACAGCTGGGGGGCGTGGGGACACCGTGGGGACATGGGGATGCCTTGGGGACACAGGGACAGCTATGGGAGCGTGGGGGTATCTTGGGGACACAGGGACACCTTGGGGACATGGGGACACTGTGGGGACACCTCGGGGACACCTTGGGGACACACTGGGGACGCGAGGACACCGTGGGGATGCCTCAGGGATGTGGGGATGCCCCGGGGACATGGGGGCACCTTGGGGACACCTCAGGGACATGGGGACACCTCGGTGAAACATCAGGGACATAGGGACACCTGGGGGACATGGGGACACCGTGGGGACACACTGGGGACACGGGGACACTGTGGGGATGCCTCAGGGATGTGGGGGCACCTTGGGGACACAGGGACGCCTTGGGGGACACCTTGGGGACATGGGGTTCCCTGGGAGGGACACTTGGGGACTGGGAGAGGGGACACTTGGGGACCTTTGGGGCCAGGATGGGACACTTGGGAGCAGGAGGGGACACTTGGCATCAGGAGAGGAGATACTTGGGGACCTTTGGGGCTGGGAGGGGATTCTTGGGGACACTTGGGGACACTTGGGGCCAGGAGAAGAGACACTTGGGGTCCTTTGGGGCCAGGAGGGGCTGGCTGGGGACCACAGGGTCCAGGATGGGGGACACTTGGGGACCACTGGGGCTGGGAGAGGGGACACTTGGGGACACCTGAGGCCAGGAGGGGACCCTTGGGGATCCATGGGGACACTTGGAGCCAGGAGAGGAGACACTTGGGGACCTTGGGGCCAGGAGGGGACGGCTGGGGACCTTTGGGAGCAGGATGGGGGACACTTGGGGCTAGGAGGGGACACTTGGGGACCTTTGGGGCTGGGAGGGGACACTTGGGGACATTTGGGGTCAGGAGAAGAGACACTTGGGGACCTTTGGGGCCAGGATGGGGGACACTTGGGGACGCTTGCGGACACTTGGGACCCGGAGGAGCTGGCTGGGGACCTTTGGGGCCAGGATAGGGGACACCTGTGGACACTTGGGGCCAGGAGAGGAGACACTTGGGGACCTTGGGGCCAGGAGGGGACAGCTGGAGAACTTTGGGAGCAGGATGGGGGACACTTGGGGCTGGGAGGGGACACTTGGGGTTAGGAGAGGAGACCCTTGGGGACATTTGTGGCCGGGAGAGGACCCTTGGGGACCCTTGGGGACACTTGGGGACACTTGGGGACCCGCAGCAGGGGGAGGTGCGTCTGCGCTGTGTGCGGGCGCTGCAGGGGCTGTACGCCCACCGGGACACGGCCGCGCACATGGAGCTCTTCACCGGGCGCTTCAAGGTGAGCGTGTCCCCCCCCCGTGTCCCCAACGCTGTCACCTCCCTGCCGAGGTCCCCAGGGGGTGACAACGGGTGTGTGTCCGTCCCCCCAGGCCCGCTTGGTGTCCATGGTGCAGGACAAGGACCCCGTGGTGGCCGTGGAGGTGGTGAAGCTGCTGACGGTGATGCTGGAGTGAGTTTGGGGACGTTGGGGACACGGGGGGGATGTTGGGGACACTGGGGACATGGGGGGGGGGCCTGGGGGATGTTGGGGACACTGGGGACATGGGGGGGACCTTGGGGACATCGGGGACATGGGGAGCATTGGGGATTGGGGGCAGGGGGATGTTGGGGACATGGGGGGGGACATTGGGGACAAGGGGGGGACACTGGGGACATGGGGGACATTGGGGATAATGGGGACATTGGGGATGGGGGACATTGGGGGACATGGGGCGTTGGGGACATGGGACACTGGGGACATGGGGGCATAGGGGCGTTGGGGACATGGGGGGGACACTGGGGACATGGGGGACATTGGGGACATGGGGATATTGGGGATATGGGGGGGACAAGGGGGACATTGGGGATGTTGGGGTCATTGGGGACATTTGGGACAGGGGAACATTGGGGATGGGGAGATAAGGGGTACATTGGGGACGGGGGGGCATGGGGGACAAGAGGGACATGGGGGGGACATTGGGGACAAGAGGGACATGGGGGGGACATTGGGGACAAGGGGGACATTGGGGGCATTGGGGACATTGGGGACACGGGTGATGGGGACACTGGGGACACCGGTTAGGGTCTGAGAGCACAAAGAGGGACACAAAACGTGCGAGACGAAGCCAGGCAGGACACGGGGCTGGGGGGTTGGGACACGGCTCGGGGACAGGGGACACAGCCGGGGGACAGCGGTGTCCCCGTTGTCACCCCAGCACGGTGGCCTGAGGCGCTGACGGAGGCCGATTGTCACCGCGTCTACCCGGCCGTCTTCTGCAGCCGCCGTCCCCTCGCCACCGCCGCCGGCCTCTTCCTCTACCGCAGGTGAGGCCGGGCCACCCCCTTGTCCCCTCCTGTGTCACCTCCCCTGTCCCCTCTCGGTGTCACCCCCCGGGTATCGTCCCCAGTCGGTGCTGCCACCGGGTGCGAGGCTTGGTGGCACCTGGGGATGTCCCTGTGGGGATGGTGGCACCCGGTCCTGCCTTGTCCCCTCCGGACCCTTTGTGTCCCCAACGCTGTCCCCACACCCACGGGACCCCCCTGTCCCCATCCCGTGTCCCTCACTGTCCCCAACCCCGTCCCAATTCCTTTACGACCCCCCTGTCCCCATCCCTTGTCCCTTTGTGTCCCCAACCCTGTCCCCATCCCCATGGGACCCGTCTGTCCCCATCCCGTATCCCTTTATGTCCCCAACCCTGTCCCCATCCCATGTCCCTTTGTGTCCCCAACCCTGTCCCTGTCCCCACAGAATCCCCCTGTCCCCATTTCTTGTGTCCCTTTGTGTTCCCCCCCCCCCCGCTGTCCCCTCCACAATGTCACCCCCTGTCCTTGTCCCCAGCCTGCTGTCCCCGCGGCACGAGGGTGACACCGAGCCGTCCCCTGGCAGCGGGGACAACCGCAGCTTCTTCCGCCTGCTGCTGACCTTCTTCATCGAGAGCGAGGTGACACCCTGGGGACACTCTGGGGACACTCTGGGGGCACCCAGGGACACCCAGGGACACCCTGGGGACACCTAAGGGACTCTGGGTGACACCCAGAAGACACCCAAGGGATCTCTGGTGACACCCAAGAGACCCCGGGTGACCCCAGGGGACACCCAAGGGACCCCGGGTGCCAGCGCTGTCCCTGTCCCCAGCTCCACCAGCACGCCGCGTACCTCGTGGACAGCCTCTGGGACTGCGCCGGGACCCAGCTGCGGGACTGGGACACGGCCGGGGGGCTGCTGCTGGAGGAGGCCCCCGAGGAGGGTGGGCAACTGGGAGCAACTGGGAGGGGACTGGGAGGCACTGGGAGGGCGCTAGGGGGCACTGGGAAGGACTGGGAGGCACTAAGGTGGCACCAGGGGGCACTGGGAGGGACTGGGATGGGACTGGGGTGCACTGAGATGATGCCAGGGGGCACTGGGAGGGCACTGGGAAGAACTGGGAGGCACTGGGGGGTACTGGGGAGTACTAGGATGGGACTGGGAGGAACTGGGGATAACTGGGAGGGCACCAGAGGGCACTGGGGGGGACTGGGATGGGACTGGGGGGGCACTGGGAAGGCACTGGGATGGACATGTCTGGGGCGGGGACTGCTGCTGGAGGAGGCCCCTGGGGAATATGGGCAACTGGGGGCACTGGGAGCCACTGGGAGGGGGCTGGTGGGAACAAGGGGGCACTGGGACGGGACTGGGGAGGGCACTGGGATGACACTGTGGGGAACTGGGGTGGCACTGGGAGGGAACTGGGAGGCACTGGGATGGCACTGGGAGACAATGAGGGGAACAGGGATGGGACTGAGGGGCACTGGGGATAACTGGAAGGGACTGGAATGGGACTGGGAGGGTGCCAGGGGGCACTGGGAAAGACTGGGAGGCACGGGGAGGATGCTAGGAGGGAACTGGGAGGCACTGGGGGGTACTGGGGAGTACTGGGATGGGACTGGGAGGAACTGGGGATAACTGGGTGGGCACCAGGGGTCACTGGGAGGCACTGGGATGGCGCCAGGGGACACTGGGATGATACTGGGGGGAGCTGGGGGGCACTGGGAACCTCCTCAACCCCCTCCCAGTCCCCCCCAGTCCTTCCCAGTCCATCCCATTCTCCCCCCAGCCCCCTCCCAGTCCCTCCCAGTCCATCCCAGTTGTCCCAGCCCCCGTCCCAGTCCATCCCAGTCCCCCCCAGTCCCCCCCACCCCCCTCCCAGTCCCGTCCCAGTCCCTCCCAGTCCATCCCAGTTCCCCCCCCAGCGCTCAGCGACCAGCAGGAGAAGGCCCTGGTGGAGATCCTGGCGGCCAGCGCCAAGCGGGCGGCGGGGGAGGGGCCCCCAGTGGGACGGGGACCCCCCCGCAAGGTAGGGGGGGGCGGTGTCACCTGGGGGTGACTGTCACCTGGGTGTCACTGTCACTGGGGGGGGTCATTATCCCCAAGGGGGGGTCTCAGTGTCCCCTTTGGGGGGTCGCTGTCACCTGGGGGGGGTCAGTGCCACCTGATGGGGTGTCAGTGACCCCCGGGGGGGTATCATTGACCCCCAGGGGGTGTCATTGTCCCCGGGGGGTGTCATTGTCCGGGGGGGGGTCATTGTCGTCATTGTCACCTGTGCCCCCCCCCAGGCGCCCCCCAAGGGGAGGCGGGCGGTGACGGAGCAGCGCTCGCGGCTCAGCCTCTGCCTGGCCCCCATCCTGCCCCGGCTGCTGGCCAAGGTGAGGGGACCCCGGGGGGGCCTCGGGGACATTTTTGGGGTGGGGGGACACCCGGGTGACCCCCCCTCACTCCCTGTGACCCCCCCAAAAGTTTTCGGCGGACGAGGAGAAGGTGACGCCGCTGCTGGAGGTGCTGAGCTGCTTCGAGCTCAGCGTCTACTGCACCGCGCGGCTGGAGAGGGTGAGCGCAGGCCCTATAGGGTCAGCCGGCCATATAGGGTCACCTGACCCCAATCCTTTAGGGTCACCTGGTCCTTATAGGGTCACCTGACCCCAATCCTATAGGGTCAGCTGGTCCTTTAGGGTCCCCTGGTCCTTATAGGGTCACCTGGCCCCAATCCTGTAGGGTCAGCTGGTCCTTTAGGGTCACCCAGTCCTTATAGGGTCACCTGACCCCAATCCTGTAGGGTCACCTAGTCCTTTAGGGTCCCCTGGTCCTTTTAGGGTCACCTGGCCCCAATCCTATAGGGTCAGCCGGTCCCAACCCTATAGGGTCACTCAGTGCTATAGGATCACCTGGTTCTTATAGGGTCACCTAGCACCAGTTCTATAGGGCCACCTGGTCCCTACAGGGTCACCTGGTCCTATAGGGTCACCCTGTCCTTATAGGGTCATCTGGTCCTTAGAGGGTCACCTGGCCCCAATCCTATAGGGTCACCTGGTCCTTTAGGGTCACCCAGTCCTTATAGGGTCACCTGGTCCCAATGCTATAGGGTCAGCTGGTCCTAACCCTATAGTGTCACCTGGCTCCAGTCCTATAGGTTCATCTGGTCCCTATAGGGTCACCCGGTCCCAACCGTATAGGGTCAGCTGGTCCTATAGGGTCACCCAGTCCTTATAGGGTAACCTGGCCCCGATCCTGTAGGGTCACCCAGTCCTATAGGGTCATCTGGTCCCAACCCTATAGGGTCACCCAGTTCTATAGGGTCACCATGTCCCCTCACCCTTTGGGGTCCCCTGGCCCTTTGGGGTCACCATGTCCCCAATCATTTTAGGGTCACCCATTCCCCATAGGGTCCCCGTGTCCCCTCACCCTTTGGGATCACCGTGTCCCCAATCCTTATAGGGTCGCCATGTCCCCTGGCCCTTTGGGTTCCCCGTGTCCCCAATCCTTATAGGGTCCCCGTGTCCCCTTGCCCTTTGGGATCCCCGTTCCCCATAGGGTCCCCGTGTCCCCTCACCCTTTGGGATCACCATGTCCCCCAGTCCTTATAGGGTCACCCATTTCCCATAGGGTCCCCATGTCCCTTCACCCTTTGGGGTCCCTGTGTCCCCTCTCTGTTTGGGGTCCCCGTTTCCCCAATCCTTATAGGGTCACCGTGTCCCCTTGCCCTTTGGGATCCCCATGTCCCCAATCCTTATAGGGTCACTGTGTCCCCTTGCCCTTTGGGTTCCCTATTCCCCATAGGGTCCCCGTGTCCCCTCACCCTTTGGGGTCCCTATGTCCCCAATCCTTAAAGGGTCACCCCTTCCCCATAGGGTCCCCGTGTCCCCAGTCCTTATAGGGTCCCCGTGTCCCCAATCGTTATAGGGTTCCTGTGTCCCCAATCCTTATAGGGTCACCATGTCCCCTCACCCTTTGGGGTCACCATGTCCGCAATCTTTATAGGGTCACCATTTCCCCAATCCTTATAGGGTCGCCACATCCTCTTGCCCTTTGGGATCCCCATTCCCCATAGGGTCCCCGTGTCCCCTCACCCTTTGGGGTCCCCATGTCTCCAATCCATATAGGGTCACCATGTCCCCAGTCCTTATAGGGTCACCGTGTCCCCTTGCCCTTTGGGGTCCCCGTTCCCCATAGGGTCCCCGTGTCCCCTCACCCTTTGGGATCACCATGTCCGCTATCCTTATACAGTCACCCATTCCCCATAGGGTCCCCGTGTCCCCAGTCTTTATAGGGTCCCCATGTCCCCTGGCCCTTTGGGGTCCCCATTCCCCAGAGGGTCCCCGTGTCCCCTGGCCCTTTGGGGTCCCCGTTCCCCAGAGGGTCCCCTGGCCCTTTGGGGTGGCCGTGACCCCCACCCCATACCCCGCAGCGCCTGGAGCAGGCGCTGGCGCAGCTGCAGGAGCTGGTGCAGAAGCACACGGGGCCGGAGGTGCTGGGGGCGGCCTCCCGAGCCCTGGGGGCCCTCTGCGACCCCCGGCTGCCGCTGCGGGGGCGCGGGGAGCTGGTGAGGAGCCGCCTGGGGGACCTGCTGGGGGAGCGCTGCCACCGCCTGCTGCGGGTATAGAGGGGATTGGGGGGGATTTGGGGGGGATTTGGGGGGATTTGGGGAGATTTGGGGGGGTTAGAGGGGATTGGGGGGGGTGAGAGGGGATTTGAGGGGGTTAGAGGGGATTTGGGGGGGATTTGGGAGGATTACAGGGGGTTTTGGGGGGATTTGGGGGGGGTAGAGGGGATTTGGGGGGGTGAGAGGGGATTGGGGGGGTGAGAGGGGATTGGGAGGGTTAGAGGGGATTTGGGGGGGATTCAGGGGGATTATAAGGGGTTTGGGGGGAGTTTAGGGCGGATTATAGAGCATTTTGAGAGGGATTTAGGGGGGTTATAGGGCATTGGGGGGGGTTAGAGGGGATTTGGAGGGGTTAGAGGGGATTTGGAGGGGATTTAGGGGGGGTTAGAGGGGATTTGGGGGGATTTGGGGTGGGTTTGGAGGGATTTGGGGGGTTAGAGGTGATTTGGGGGGGGATTTGGGGTGGGTTTGGAGGGATTTGGGGGGATTTGGAGGGGTTATAGGGGGTTTGGGGGGGATTAGGGAGTGTTTGGGGGATTCAGGGTGGGTTTGGGGGTTATAGGGGAGTTTGGGGGCATTTATGGAGGTTATAGGGATTTGGGGGGGATTTCGGGGGTTCAGGGGGATTTGGGGTGGGTTTGGAGGGATTTGGGGGGGTTAGAGGGGGATTTGGGGGGATTTGGGGGGATTCAGGGGATTATAAGGGGTTTGGGGGGGATTTGGGGTGGGTTTGGGGGTTATAGGGGGAGTTTGGGGCATTTATGGAGGTTATAGAGGGTTTGGGGGGATTTGGGGGGGATTTGGAGGGATTCGGAGGGGTTATAGGGGATTTGGGGGGGATTTGGGGGATTTGGAGGGGGTTATAGGGGGTTTGGGGGGACTATAGGGATTTGGGGGATTCAGGGGGATTTGGGGGTTATAGGGGATTATAGGGGGATTTAGGGGGGGTAGAGGGATTTGGGGGATTTGGGGTGGGTTTGGAGGGATTTGGGGGTTAGAGGGGATTTGGGGGGGATTCAGGGGATTATAAGGGGTTTGGGGGGAGTTTAGGGGGGATTATAGAGCATTTTGGAGGGATTTGGGGGGGCTATATAGGGATTTGGGAGGGACTCGGGGATTTATAAGGGGTTTGGGGGGAGTTTAGGGGGGATTATAGAGCATTTTGGAGGGATTTGGGGGGCGTTATAGGGGATTTGGGGAGGATTCAGGGGGGTTATAGGGGGATTTGGGGGGGTTATAGGGGATTTGGGAGGGTTTAGGAGGAGTTTGGGGAAGATTTGGGGTGGTAATGGGGTGGGGATGGGGGCATGGGGGACCTGCTGGGGGAGCGCTGCCACCGCCTGCTGCGGGTACGGGGGAGTTCAGGGATTTGGGGGGGTTAGAGGGGATTTGGGGGGATTTGAGGGGATTATAGGGGGTTTGGGGGGGATTTGGTGGGGTTAGAGGGGATTATAGGGGGATTTAGGGGGGGTTAGAGGGGATTTTGGGGTATTTGGGGAGATTATAGGGGTTTGGGGGGATTCAGGGGGGTTAGAGGGGATTCGGGGGGGATTCAGAGGGGCTATGGGGGATTTGGGGGGATTTGGGGTGGGTTTGGAGGGATTTGGGGGGTTTATAGGGGTTTGGGGGAGTTTAGGGGGGATTATAGCGCATTTTGGAGGGATTTAGGGGGGTCATAGGGGATTTGGGGGGATTCAGAGGGGTTATAGGGGATTTGGGGTGGGTTTGGAGGGATTTGGAGGGGATTATGGGGGGATTTGGGGGGGATTCAGGGGGATTATGGGGGGATTTGGGGGTTTAGAGGGGATTGGGGGGGGTTTAGGGGATTTGGGGGGGATTTGGGGTGGTTTTGGAGGGATTTGGAGGGATTATAGGGGATTTGAGGGAGTTTAGGGGGGATTATAGAGCATTTTGGAGGGATTTAGGGCGTGATTCGGGGGGGATTATAGGGGGTTTTGGGGGGATTTGGGGGGGTTGTATGGGATTTGGGATGGATTTGGGGTGGGTTGGGGGGCTTAGAGCTGGGCTGGGGGTGTTGGGGTGTCCCCAGCCCCCCGGGGTGTCCCCAGCTGTCCCCAACCCCCTGTCCACCCCCCGCAGTTGCCGTCCCTGGACGAGGAGGAGCTGTACAGCGCCGCCGCCACCCTAAAGCGCCTCTCCGTCCTCTTCAAGTGTGCCCCGTGTCCCCAACGTGTCCCCCCTGTCCCCAATGTGTCCCCAATGTGTCCCCAAAGTGTCCCCAACGTGTCCCCAGAGTGTCCTCAATGTGTCCCCAATGTGTCCCCCCCCGTCCCCAAAGTGTCCCCAATGTGTCCCCAAGCGTGCCCCCCCATCCCCTGGGGTACTGGCCCCATGTCCCTGTCCCCTTTCCCCTTATTCCCATGTCCCTAGTATTCCCTGATGTCCCCTTCCCAATGTCCCTGTCCCCTTCCCAGTATCCCCGTCCCCTTCCCAGTGTCCCTGTCCCCATTTCCATGTCCCTGTCCCCTTCCCAGTGTCCCCATCCCCTTCCCAGTGTCCCTGTCCCCATCTCCCTGTCCCCATGTCCCCACCTCCATGTCCCCATATCCCCATGTCCCCTGTCCCCCTGTCCCTGTCCCCATGTCCCCATGTTCCCATGTCCCCTGTCCCCTGTCCCCATATTCCCATGTCCCCCTGTCCCCATGTCCCCTGTCCCCATGTTCCCATGTCCCCTGTCCCCCTGTCCCCATGTCCCCTGTCCCCATGTCCCCTGTCCCCATGTCCCCTGTCCCTGTCCCTGTCCCCGCAGCGCCCACGACCTGACGCCCTGGCAGCTCTTCGAGCCCTGCACCCTCCTCCTGCGGCGCGCGGCCGACACGGGCGAGGTGCCCCCGCAGGTACCTGGGGACACTGGGGACATTGGGGACAACTCCAGGGAGGGGACACGAGGCCACCGTGTGTCCCCACAGCTCCTTGTCCCCGCCATCACCTGCGCCCACTTCCACATCCTCTGGGAGCTGTCGCGGCTGGCCAACACCGACGTCCCCCAGGTGAGCTTGGGGACATGGGGACAACTGGGGACACTGGGGACAGTTGGGGACATTGGGGACACTGGGGAAGGGGACAGGGACATGGGGGCACTGGGGGAGGGGACGGGGACATGGGGACACTGGGGGTAAGGGGAGAAAAGGGACGCTGTGGGGACAGGGACTTGGGGGTTTGGGGACGTTGGGAAGGGGGCAAGGGGTGTGGGGACGGGGATGTGGGGACACTGGGCGGGGCTGGGGACATGGGGACAGAGGGACATGGGGCAGGGGACAGGGACAGGATATGGGGACAGGGATAGGACACGGGGACAGGACAGGGGACAGGAACAGGGACATGGGGACATGGATGAGGACATTGGGACAAGAATAGGACACAGGGACAGGAATAGGACATGGGGACGTGGATGGGGACATGGGGACAGGACATGGGGACAGGAATAGGACACAGGGACAGGGACATGAACATGGGGACAGGGATAGGACATGGGGACAGGGACAGGGACATGGGGACAGAAATAGGACACAGGGACATGGGGACAGGGACCGCAGCGCCACCACCCTGGGGTGGCGACGGACAACAAGGGGACAACGGGGAGGGGACAACAGGGGGACAACCCCCTCTTTGCGAGGACGTGGCCCCGGCTTGGGGACATCCCCAGGTGCCAGCCGGCTGTCCCCAAATGCCACCCGGCTGTCCCCAGGAGCAGCTGCTGAGCCTGAAGGACAAAACCACCTCCTTCTGCGCCCTGTGCCAGAGCTGCCTCTCCAACGGCGACGCCGGCGTCCGGGAGCAGGTGACAGCGAGGGGACAGAGGGCGAGGTGGCACCTCGGTGGCCCCGTGCCGACCTTGTCCCCGTTGTCCCCGTTGTCCCCAAGGCCTTCGTGGTGCTGAGTGACCTCCTGCTGGTGCTGGGCCCCTCGGGGACACGCGGGGCCGGGGCGGCGCTGGCCCCACTGCGGCTGGTGCCCGACGTGGAGCTGCGCTCCCAGCTGGCCGCCGTGCTCCTCGACCACGTCTTCAGCCCTGGGGACAGGGACAGTGACGGTGAGGTCCCCAACGCGTCCCCAACCCGTCCCCAAGGTGGCCCCGGTGAGCACCAGGTGGCCCCTGTGCTCGTGAGGTGGCCCCAAAGCGGTCCAGGTGGCCCCGATGGCCCTAGGGTGGCCCCAGGACATCTCCGAGCAGGCCCTGGTGGCCTCAAGATGTCTTTGGCGTGGCTCTGGTGGCTCGGAGATGTCCCCTCGTGTCCCCAAGGTGTCCCCTCATGTCCCCAGGGTGTCCTCTTGTGTCCCCAAGGTGGTCCCCAGGTGGCCCTGGTGGTCCCCAGGTGGCCCAAGTGGCCCCAAAGTGGCCCCAGGACATCTCCGAGCAGTCCCTTGTGGCCTCAAGGTTTTTCTGACATGTCCTTGGTGACCCCAAGATGTCCCCTCATGTCCCTAAGGTGGTCCACAGGTGGCCCTGGTAGCCCCCAGGTGGCCCTCATGGCCACAGGTGTCCCCTCAGTGTCCCCTTGCCCTCCCAAGCCCCCTCAAGGACCATCCCCAGCTGCTCCTGGCATCCCTTTGGTGCCCCAAATCCCCTCAACGTCCCCTTAGTGCCTCCAAACCCTATGGAGGAGCTACACTGGCTGCTCCTGGTGTCCCTTTAGTGTCCTTTCAGTGTCCCCAAGATGTCCTCTGTGTCCCTCTGATGTCCCCAAGATGTCCCCAATCTCCCTGGAGGACTTCTCCCATCTGGTTCTGGCTTCCCTTCAGTGCCCCAAATCCCCTCAACATCCCCTTAATGCCTCCAAACCCCACGGAGGACCTCCCCCAGCTGCTCCTGGCATCCTTTCTGTGTCCCCAAGATGTCTCCTGTGTCCCTTTGATGTCCCCAAGATGTCCCCAAACCCTCTGGAAGTCTTCTAGCTGCTCCTGGCATCCCTTTGGTGCCCCAAATCCCCTCAGCATCCCCTTAGTGTCCCCAAACCCCATGGAGGATCTCCCCCAGCTGCTCCTGGTGTCCCTTTAACGTCCCCTCAGTGTCCCCAAGATGTCCCCTGTGTCCCCTTAATGTCCCCAATATGTCCCCAAGCCCCCTGGAGGACTTCTCCCAGCTGCTCCTGGCATCCCTTTGGTGCCCCAAATCCCCTCAACATCCCCTTAGTGCCCCCAAACCCCATCGAGGACCTCCCCCAGCTGCTCCTGGTGTCCTTTCCGTGTCCCCAAGCTGTCCCCAAGCTGTCCCCAAGCTGTCCCCTTGTCCCCGTAGATGCCGCCGAGGCACACATGGAGGACCTGCACCGCCGCCGCATGCTGCTGGCCGGCTTCTGCAAGCTCATCATCTACAACGTCCTGGAGCCCAGCGCCGCCTCTGACGTCTTGAAGTACTATGACAAGGTGGGGACAGGGCTGGGGACACTGTCCCCCCCCCCTGCTGTCCCCTCGGCTCTTTGGGGACCCCTCCGTTTCCCCCCAGTTTCACGCCGAGTACGGGGACATCATCAAGGAGACGCTGGCGTGCATCCGCCGCATGGACGGCCAGGAGTGGGCGCGCGTCGTGCTGCTCAGCCTGCAGCAGGTCCGGGGGGGGTCCTGGGGGGGCTTCAGGGGGATTTGGGGTTGTGGGGGGGCTCCAGAGGGGGATTTGGGGTTGTGGGGGGGCTCCAGAGGGGGCTTTAGGGTTCCTTGGGGGGCTTCAGGATGTCCTGGGTGGGCTTCAGGGGAATTTGGGGTTCCTTGGGTGCTCCAGAGGGGGATTTGGGATTCTTAGGGGGCTCCAGGAGGTCATGGGGGGCTCCAGAGGGGGCTTTTGGGGTCCCTGGGGTGCTCTGGGGGGGGGCTTCAGATGGATTTGGGGTCATCAGGGTGCTCCTGGGGGACTTCTGGGTTCCCCTGGGGGGTTCTCAGAGGTTTGTGGGGGGGGATCAGATGGATTTGGGGTCATTGGGGTGCTCCAGGGGGGGCTTTTGGGGTCCCTGGGGGGCTCCAGGTGGATCTGGGATTATTGGGGGGGCTCTGGGGGGGGTTTTGGGGTCTCTGGGGTGCTCTGGGGTGGGCTTCAGATGGATTTGAGGTCATCAGGGTACTCTGGGGGGGCTTTTGGGGTCCCTGGGGGGCTTGAGGACATCCGGGGGGGGGTCAGATGGATTTGGGGTCATTGGGGGGGGGCTCCGGGGGGGTTTTGGGGTCCCCTGGGGGGTTCTCAGAGGTTTGGGGGGGGGGGATCAGATGGATTTGGGGTCATTGAGGTGCTCCAGGGGGGGCTTTTGGGGTCCCTGGGGGGCTCCAGGTGGATTTGGGATTACTGGGGGGACTCCGGGGGGGGGGATTTTGGGGTCTTTCTGACCGTGCCCCCCCTAGGTGATGACGGAGCTGCTGATGGAGCACAGCCCCGGGGTGCGGGGGGTCCCCGCTTTTGGGGGGCTGCGGGATTTGGGGCGCCGCCTCTCCCTCTTCTTCGGCCCCCGCCCCCAACCCAACCGCCAAGTGCTGCTGCGCCTGCACCGGTAACGGGGGGGGCACCGGGGGGGAGGGGCACGGATATTTGGGTGGGGGGTCCTGGGGGTGTGGGGAGGGGGTTTTGGGGGGATAAGAAGGGGTTTGGGGGGGATAGGAGGGGATTTGGGGTGCTGGGAGGGGTCTGTGGGGTTTGGGGGGGCCCAGGGGCATTTGTGGGGGGGCTCCGGGGTATTTGGGAGGGGGTTGTTTTTTTTTTTTGGGGGGGGTCTGGGGTGTGTGGAGGGGGTTTTGGGGGTATAGGAGGGGGTTTTGGGGTGATGGGGGGGCTTTTGGGGGGGCTCTGGGGTGTTGGGGCAATTTGGGGGGGGTCAGTGGTATTTGGGGGGGGCTCTGGGGTTTTTTTGGAGGGGTCCTGGGGGTCTTGGGAGGGGGTTTAGGGGTGGTGGGAGGGGGGTTGCGGGCATTTTGGGGGGTTGGGTCCATTTGGGGGAGGCTCAGGCTTTTTTTGGGGGGGGGGGTCGGGGTAATTGGGGGGGGGCTTGGTTTTTTTTTTGGGGGGGGTCTGGGGGTGTGGGAACGGGGTTGGGGGGGTTTGGGGGCCCTGAGGAATTTGGGGGGGTCTGAAGGGATTTGGGGGAGTCTGGGGGGATTTTGGGGGGCCCTGGGGGGATTTGGGGGTCCCGGGCCTGACCCCACCTGCTCTGTGCCCCCCCCCCAGGGACGGCATCGCCTTTGCCCTACAAGAGGGTCCGGAGGGGGGTTCGGGGGGGGATCCGGGGGGGGCCCCCCTGTACCTGCCCTTCCTGGAGGTGCTCAGCGAGTTCTCCCCCCGCCTGCTGCCCCCCGACCGAGCCCTGCTGTGAGTGGGGGGTGTCCTGGGGGGGGCATTTGGGGTCCTGGGGGGGATTTGGGGTACTGAGGGGGGATTTGGGGTCTTTGAGGGGGGATTTGGGGTGTGTGTGTGGGGTATTCGGGGTCCTCATGGATATTTGGGGTCCCTGGGGGGGATTTGGGGACCTTGGGGGGGGATTTGGGGTCCTGGGGGGAATTTGGGGTCCTGCGGGGGGTTGGGGTCCTTGAGGGGGGGGCTTGGGGTCCTCGTGGAAAGTTAGGGGGGGATTTGGGGTCCTTGGGGGGGGCATTTGGGGTTCGTGGGAGGGGGATTTGGGGTTCCTGGGGGAGAATTTTGGGGGAATTGGGGTCCTGAAGAGGGATTTGGGGACCTGGGGGGGGATTTGGGGTTCCTGGGGAGGATTTGGGGTCCTTGAGGGGGGGGCTTGGGGTCCTTGGGGGAAGTTGGGGGAGGATTTGGGGTCCTGGGGGGGCGGATTTAGGGTCCCAGGGGTGGGATTTGGGGTCCTTGGGGGGGGGATTTTGGGGAGATTTGGGGTCCAGAGGGGGGGATTTGGGGTTCCTGAGGGGGATTTGGGGGGGATTTGGGGTTCCTGGAGGGGGATTTGGGGTCCTTGTATGGGGATATGGGGTTCCTGGGGGGGGGTTGGGTCCTGGGGGGGATTTGGGGTGCAGGGGGGGATTTGGGGTTCTTGGAGGAAAATTTGGGGGCCCTGGGGGGGTGGATTTGGGGTCCCCCCCTAATTTTTGCCCCCCCCCCCAGGCTGACCCACCTGCAGCAGAGCTGCCAGCAGCTGGGGATGACCCCCCCGGAGCGGTCCCCGTGGCCCCCCCTGGCCGCCTACCACCGCTCCCTGCAGCCCCCCGAGCCCCCCCAAAAGAGGAGGTGCACAGAAGGTGAGGCGGGGGGCAGCGCCCCCCCGGGACCCCCCCCCAATGTGCCCCCCCCCCCCAATCTCCCTCCCGTCCCTTGTCCCTGTGACCCCCCCTTGTCCCTGTCCCCCCCCCTTGTCCCTGCCCCCCCCCCCAAGGGAGGGAGGTGACAAATTGGGGGGTGTCCTTGGGGACAAATCCTGTGTGTGGGGGGTCTCACATCGCCCCCCCCCCCTTTTTCTACCCCCCCACCCCCAGAGACCTGGCAGGGCCCCAGCCCCCCCCTCAGCCCGGCGCTCACGTCCACGGTGCTGCGGGTCCCCCCCGGCCCCCCCTGGGAGCTCCGCGTTCCCGGCCCCAGCAGGTTAATTTTGGGGGGGGGGGGGGGGCACCCTCAAAATGGGCTGGGGGGGGCAATGGGGGGAACTGGGAGGTACTGGGAGGGCACTGGGATGGGATAGGGGGGGCACTGGGCATACTGGGGGGCACTGGAGGGGGACTGGGGGGGACTGGGAGGCACTAGGGTGAGACTGGGGGGGCACTGGGTATACTGCGGGGGACTGGTGGGGGCACTGGGTGTACTGGGGGGGCACTGGGCATACTTGGGGGCTCCCAGCGTCGTCCCCAGCCTGAGCGTGATGGAGGAGGAAGAGGAGGAAGAGGAGGAGGAGGAGGAGAGGGGAGGGGGCAGCAGCGAGGAGCCCCCCCCGCAGCTGGACCAGGTGAGCCCCCCCCCCACGGTCCCCCCAACACCAAGGGGAGGGTTTTGGGTGCTCCTCCCCCCCCCCAAAAACCCCCTAATTTGTGCGCCCCCCCCCAGGTCCGGGACCTCTTTGACTCCACCGTCCTGGGAATCGAGGTGAGGGGGGGGGCCCGAAATGTTGCCCCCCCCCCCCAAAATTTCCCCCCAACGTCCCCCCCTATTTTTTTGTTTACCCCTCCTACTTCCCCCCTCCCCAAATTTGAGCCCCCCCACCTTAAAATTGCCTCCATTTCCACCCTCCTCCTCCAATTTTACCCCAATCCCCCCCCCAATTTTGCCCCCCGCCAAATTTGCCCCCCCCATTTTCACTCTCCCCCCTCCCAAAGTGCCCCCCCAAAATATTGCTCCCCCCACCCTAAAATGCACCCCCCAATTTCCACCTCCCCCTAAATCCTGCCCCCATTTTCACCCTCCCTCCTCCCCCAGCTCCCCCCCCTCAAATTTGAAGACCCCCCAAAAAATTTGGACCCCCTCACAAAATTTAATGACCCCCCAAAAAATCTGCCCCCCCCAAAAAAAAACAACCCCCCCCCAAATCCTGCCCCTGTTTTCACCCTCCCCCCTTTTACAGCCCCCCCCAAATTTGGGGACCCCCCAAAAAACTTTGGGACCCCCCCCAAAGTCTGGGGACCCGCCTAAAAATTGGGGGACTTTCCCCAAAAATTGGGGGACCCCCCCAAATTGCCCCCCCTGCCATTTTTGGGGGGGTTTCTCTCCCCCAGGACTGAGCGTGGAGCCGCAGCCGGAAGGCGTCGTTTCTGGTTTTGCCTGTTTTTCGCCGTTCTGAGCCCAAAATGTTGGGGGTGCCAACCGCCACCCCGCACCCCCGCACCCCGTTTGGTTCAATAAAGAGCGGGATTGGCAACGCGGCCTCAAAAAAGTTTAGTTTTGGGGGGGAGGGGGACAGGGGGGGTCTGGTCACAGTGGGTCCCCCGCCGATGTCCCCACCCCATCCCCGTGTCCCCCCCTCTTTGTCCTTGTCCCCCCCCATCCTTGTCCCGGTGTCCCCCCCATCCTTGTACCCCCCCCCCCCCCCAATGTCCCTGTCCTCGATGTCCCCATTGGGGTTGTCCCCATCCCGATGTCCCCCCCACAATGTCCCCACCCTGATGTCCTTGTCCCGATGTCCCCATCCCAGTGTCCCCATCCCCATGTGATCCCAGTGTCCTTGTCCCAATGTCCCCACCCTGATGTCCCCATCCCAATGTCCTTGTCCCTATGTCCTTGTCCCAGTGTCCCCAACCCAATGTCATCCCGATGTCCCCATCCCAATGTTCCCATGTCCCCATCCCAGTGTCCCCATCCTGATGTCATCCCGATGCCCTTGTCCTGATGTCCTTGTCCCCGTGTCCCCACCCTGATGTCCCCACCCTGTCGTGGTTTAACCCGGCCGGCAGCTAAACACCACGCAGCCGTTCGCTCAGCCTCCCCCCTCCCTCTCTGGGACGGGGGAGAGAAATGCAAAGTGAAGCCCGTGAGTTGAGATAAAGACAGTTTAATAAGACAGGAAAATAATAATAACAAAAATAACAATAACAATAAGAATAATACAATGGTGATAATAGGAAAGTAATAATCATATGTACAAACAAGTGATGCACAATGCAATTGCTCACCACTCGCTGACCGATGCCCAGCCTCACGCCGAGCAGTCCGGCCCCCTCCCCCCAGCTAGCCACCCCTATCTATTGTTTAGCATGACCCCAGATGGGATGGAATACCCCTTTGGCTAGTTTGGGTCCCCTGTCCTGGCTCTGTCCCCTCCCAGCTCTTACTGCACCCCCAGCCTGCCCGTTGGCAGGACAGAGCAAAAGGCTGAGATGTCCTTGGCTTGGTGTAAGCACTGCTCTGCAACAATTAAAGCATCGGGGTGTTCTCAGCACTCTGCTCATCCCAAGCCAAAACACAGCATTCCACCAGCTCCTAGGAAGAAAATTAATTCTGTTCTAACTGAAACCAGGACACCTCTCCACCCCTTATTCCATACCATTTCTGTCATGCTCAGGTTACACTCTTTTCCATACATTCTAATTAGTTACCTGTAGTAGTCATGGTAGTGATAACATACAGTATTATATAATAATTAACGTGGTGCAATTCAGTTCATGGGCTATTCTCACCCAGTAGTAAATCTCCTTGAGGTACACCCCAGACCTCTCCGTTCTTTTGCATCACCCACCAAGTGTATCCAGGTCCCTGAGCGAAAACAATTCCACGAAGAGGTTTGCCTTTTCCTGAGGCAGGAGTAGCCCAGACTGTTTTACCCAGCGTATTTCTTACATGCGCTACAGGAACTTTATCCCCATCTACAGTACGTAACAGGTTGGATTGGGCAGGTCCCGCTCGGTTGGCAGATCCCCTAGTATTGACTAACCAGGTGGCCTTTGCCAAATGCGTATCCCAGTTTTTGAACGTCCCAGCGCCCATTGCTTTCAAGGTAGTCTTTAACAGGCCATTGTATCGTTCAACTTTCCCGGAGGCTGGTGCATGATAGGGGATGTGATACACCCATTCAATACCATGCTCTTTGGCCCAAGTGTCTATAAGGTTGTTTCGGAAGTGAGTCCCTGTTGCGTTAAAGGGGTGTAGCTGATTAACCGTTACGGGTCCGGTTGGGTTCAGAGTACTGAATCAGTCGGACATTCACCAAAAACGCATTAACAGTCTGGGGGTCCGTTCGGACATTCACCAAAAACGTCATAACCGTCTGGGGGTCCGCTCAGACATTCACCAAAAACGTACTAACCACCTGGGGGTCCGCTCAGACATTCACCAAAAATGCATTAACCGTCTGGGGGTCTGGTTAGATTCAGAACACTGAACTATCACGGATAACCACCCTCACCCCAGTTGCATTAATGAGAGCTATCACAATGCAATCAAGTATGGTTTATTAGAGCAACAGATAATCAGGTTCTTTTGGATTGCCGGCGATAGTGACCATCTGCAAAAGCAAGCTAGTATGCATGAAATACACAGGTGTTATAGGTGTTACAGGTGTTCTAGGTGTTAAAAATGTTACAGGTGTGTTAGATGTTATAGATGTTACAAGTGTTCTAGGTGTTGTAGGTGTTTTATAGGTGTTATAGGTGTTACAGATGTTACAGGTGTTATAGATGTTACAGATGTTATAGATGTTACAGGTGTTTACAGGTGTCACAGGTGCGCAGCCTAGAAATAAACACGTTAAAAGGATTAAAGACTCTATAGAGATTTATAAGCAAATATTCAGATCTCAGCCAAAGGCGTCCCAATGGGGGGGGAAGAGAGGCTCAGCCCGTCGACTGATCCCAGGAGTCAGGAGGTCCTAAGGATGTTGTATGTCCTCGGGATGGTATCTCCCCTGACGGTGGTATCTTCCCTAACATCCCCTCTCTCTTGCGCCAATTTATATTATTTTCTATCTGTTAGGTGGAGCTTGAGTGGCTCTAGTCAAGCATATCTTAGTTATGATTGGTGTAAAGTTTTCCCGTCTCCGTTTAAAGTAATAGGCTCCGAGAAATTCAGGGCGCATGCTCGGTGGGGGGTGGTCGCACCTTGGAGGCGGGTAGCTTTTGGGATGGAGGTGTGTTTTGGTATTATAATGATATTATAATGAGCAAAGAGTACACTAGGGTACAGCATTTGTCAAAAGATGACAGGTCTTTGGCTTAGGGTGGCAAAAAGTGCAGCTTTGTGCACAAGAACAATCGAGGCCCCACCTGATTACAGAGCCTAGCCGTGGTGTCTCCACTCCACTCCACGCTCCGTGGTGTTCCTTAGAGCTAGCACACCAAGTTTCCCCAGCGCGATAACATCTAAGGTTGGGAGCCTAGGGAACGCTCAGGTAATGCAGTTATGCCCTACCCTGAAAGCCTCTTCAATGCTGTACCTTTTCCTTAAAAATGTGAATGTTAGTTTTATTTTCCTAGTTACTTCAGGCAATTACACCACAGACAGTGACACAGCAGGGGGCAAGTTCTGTGCATCAGCTGCCAAAGCTCCTACCCAGGCTCGTGACGGCGTTGCCTCTAGGTATTAGAGCCAGCCTGCACAAGGAGCCCAGCAACCCGTCTACTTTGAGTCAGACAGACTCAAGGCAGAACGCCCACCTCTGCCTTGTCCCTCTACAGAATTCTCTTGAAGTCCAGCTAATGAACACCACGAGAGCAAAACTACGACGAGGGGAGAGAATTAACTCCGTGGCACTGAGTGAATTAACTTACTGAATTAACTACGTGGCACCAGCCCAGGCTTCTCCTGCGTGCACTTTGCTCCGTTTCCGTCTGTTCCTCAGGGGAGCTTCAAGGCGGAGGAGGCTCCTGGGGCTCCAACTCTGACACTTGGTGCTGCGGTCGCGCCGGTTCGCGCCCAGCAAGGTCCTGCAGAGAAAGCTCCGCTTGGAGATGCACAGGGTGTTTCAGGAAGGCGCCGTGGTTGCCCTCCGAAGCTCTGGGGAAGGAGAAGAGATTCCCCAAACTCAACATATTTCCAGCTCCAGAGAGCCTCAAGCACTATTGCATGCCCACTTTAAACTCCACCAGCAGCCAACACACAGCCAGTCACTGCCTAATGGCAGCCCAACCAAGCCACCCGTCAGCATGTGCACATGGAACGTGAAGATGCTCGGAAAGACCAAGATTCTAATTAAAGGTGTGTTAATGTGAAGAAAACGAAGAGAAATGGAGCAGATGCTGCATATTCCTCGTGGGTAGTTATGTTTCTGTGTGACGGTAGTGGAGCTGAGTATCTGCGAGCAGAATCAGTGCGTAATTTAGGTTGGAAAGGATTTTGGAATTCCCCAAACAGTGGCTTTTTCACGCATTTTCGCGTGAAATATGCATTCGGCGTGGTACATGCTCATGGAGCGATTTGGAAAGAATGTGGATTGCTGACCGCTCAGGGAAAACAGATAAAACATGCTGAAGAAATTTTAAAATTGTTACAGGCAGTAAAACAACCAGAAAAGGTAGCTGTCATGCATTGTGGAGGACACCAAAATTGCCGATTTTGAAATTGGAAATGGATTGGCAGATCAGGAGGCTAAGCGGGCAGCTGAAATAACGGAGGTGAAGGCATTGTCTTTGATGCCAGACTGTAAAATCCAAACTATATCCAAATTATACCAAAGAAGACTTAAAATTAATTGAAGATTTGAAAGGTAAAATGAAACCAGATGGATGGGTATATGTAAAAGATAACCGCGTAATAATACCCTCTAATTTGACATGGCCCAGAGTTCTTACAGAACACAATAAAACACATTGGGGAGCTGACACATTGCATAAGAGCCGGAGTCAGACATTAGTGGGACAAAATTTATATACAACAATAAAAGAAGTAACTCAGCACTGTAACATTTGTTTACACAATAACCCCAATACCAAGAAGAGAATAAAATTTGGAATAATCGGTAAAGGAAATTATCCGGGGCAACAGTGGCAAATTGATTTTTCAGAACTCCCTAGAAAAGGGGGGTATCGTTATTTACTGGTTCTGACTGACACATTTTCAGGAAGGCCCGAAGCCTTTCCCTGTCGAACAAACAAAGCAAGAGAAGTGGTTAAAGTCTTGTTAAATGAAATAATGCCGTGCTTTGGGATTCTAGTAGCAATGTCTTCTGATAGTTTCACAGTTTTGTGCGCAAGTGGTACAACAGATTAGTAAGATTCTAAAGATAGATTGGCAACTGCATACTCCTTATAGACCGCAGGCAAGTGGACAGGTAGAAAAAACGAACCATTTAAGTAAACAACAAACAGCTAAAATTGGACAAGAAGCTAATTTCTCCTGGCCTCAATCCCTGCCTTTAGCATTACTTAGAATCAGAGTTAAACCTAGAATAAAAGGGAATATGAGCCCCTTTGAAATCTTATATGGAAGGCC